CTGTCTTGTGACTATCAGTTATGCAAATTGACGCTACCCCTGCCCATACCTGCACACACTGTTTGCTTTGGAATTGTTCCAACTGAAAAAAGCATAATCAGAAGCATGAATCTAGATGACACACAGTAGAGAAATGTAAAGTATTGGCAGATATTAGGAGTGGCAGTTCCATAACTTCACCCAAATATACCCTTCAGTTGGCTATTTGTACCAGGAACCCATATCTTTGCCATTTCAGTCCACCTTTAAAAATCTCTCCCAATAGGATCTTGCTGTTAATTTGTATAATTTCTTGACCTTCTGCCAGGAATGTTAAATCTTAGTAAAGTTTTTATTTCTTAACAGGTAATTTAAAAAACTTTTCTGTAGTTCTGCTCAAGATTAATTATACATACACCATGACTTCCCTAAATAGCCTTCCTTTTAAAATTAAATTTACCAGTTCTTGTTCACAATATAACATTTAGCAAGGAGAGCCTTTTGGCTATTAGCTGATACAAGTATGAGATACGTAAATAGCAACATTTAGGGGAGTCAATAAAGGCCTTTAGGAAGAATAAAGCATTTTCATTCTAATTAAGGTACATGCTAGCTGCTTTTAGAAATTTAAAACTTCAAGAAATGCTTACATCTTTATGTAGTCATACTATTTCTGTGCTCTTGTTAGGTACTGAGGATGATCTGGAATTCTATGTCAGAAAATGTGGCGATATTCTAGGAGTTACTAATAAATTGCCAAAAGAGCAGCAAGATGCCAGACATATCCTGGAGCACATTTTCTTTCAAGTAGTAGAGTTCAAGAAGCTCAATCAGGTAAACTCTTTGACATTTTCCCTACAACTCTTTCTAATGGGTCATGGGAAGATATGTAAGCTAGAAAATAGAGTCCTTTCTGAACTCAGTGAGGCACCACATATTTGATCATAAAATTGGGTTTGAAGATTTAATTCCTTTTTAGAACAAGTTGGTTACTCTAACTTAAAGAAACAAAACAAAACTCCTTCAGATTTTGGGATTCTGCAGAGCTCCATTTAAAAAGCAATAGTGAATGTCTTGCAGGCATATGCACATAAACCCTGTGCAGACATGAGTCTGTGTGTTGCCTCCTTCCTATTCTTTTATGCTTTATTCTCTTCACACCTGCAGAATGTTAGAACAGTGTTGTAGCTGCACCAATGTCAGCGCTAATTATAATTAGGTGAAATCAGAGTTTGGGATTCTATTTCTAACAGTGATTGCACACAGGTTAGCATTAACATTAGTGCAGACACCATCCTGCCCTGTGATTAGCTCTGAAAATGGGGAAGGAAATATGCATGCTATGTAGGGCAGAAATTGCAGGGGTTAATCCTAGTTTAGCAACTAGTTTGGAAAAATTTGTCTGAGGCATATAGTAAATTCAAAAGATGAATATCTTCATTTGTTTGGACCTTTGCATCTGATCACCAAGAAGAGAGTTAAGAAATGGAGATGCATTTGTCCATCTCTGAGCTGAGCTTCCCACTTCTGTTACTTCAGCCATTAGGAATATCAGAGTAGTTGAAGAAATAGGGCATTTTTCAAGAAATATCTTCACAGGTGAAACTAATGTGGCTTTGAGCATATGAAGTCAGCTTTCTATTCATAGTGTTTTCTACCCTTATTATAAATACTAAGAAATGTGGTATGCTCTGCAAAATAATGCTAATAAGCACATTTCAAGGTTTGATAGTTATTGTTTCATTAAAATACAAGGAGACATCCTGCAGCATCTCTCATAATGGCTACACATATGTACTACAGAATTGCATTGCCCTTGAATTTTCCAAAGGGAATGCTATCTTATCTTCCTTTGAGGAAAATTACACCAATGCTATGATTCAACAAATGTCTTTTTTCTCCTTGACAACCTTAAGCATGCCCCTTTGTGGCTGAAAAAGAAAATGGCCTAAATTTGAAAGAGAAAAAAGTAGAAAAATACTTTAAAGGAAAATAAATGCAAGAGAAGGTAGGGACGAAACCATAGTTAGGTGGTGAATGGAGCTAACATGGATATTGCTATAGTAGCACTAAAAGCTTTGTAGTAAATAAATCAAAGTGTGTGTCATGTTCAGTAATTAATGCAATACCAAATGCTGAACTGCAAAATGTAAAAAGCATTTGAAAAATCAGGGGGCATTTAATTTGAAAAAGCAGTAATGAAAAGTAGCTTTGGGACTGATGCATGTTTTGATAAATATCTATTTTCTTTTCCAAAAGGAACATGATATCGATACAAGTGAAACTGGATTCCAGGGTGGCTTTTGAACACTTACCTTCTCTCCATTAAGAAAATGTATCTTCTTTGAAGAGGAAGCAGTAATGGCACACTTCCTCTGCTTTGCTAGTTCAATAAACTGGTGACTTCTTCCTGCTATTTTTCTGTGCCCTGTTGGATCTAGTAAATATGTAGCTCATCTGAAAGTTCAATGCCAAAACAGGAATGGCCTTCCAGGCAGCAATAATTTTGATATATTTCTATGTATGAAGCCTTCCATATGTATTTTTTAAAAAAATAAAGATACCATTTTGTACATCTTGGAAGTACTTGCTTCTGGCTGGGTGTTTGCTTTTTGATAAACTTTGTGTGTGAGTGAAGGAACATGATAGATAAAATACAGATAGTTATGCTTTTACTGTTCAGTTTGTAATAAATAGCTTCAAGTTGCCTGGCATTTGTCATAAGCCTGCTTACTCGAGGAAATTGGAGCACCTGCTTTTTTGCATCAGGTCTTGTATGACTAAAATTGCCTTGTTTCATCTTTATCAGTGCTACTATACTGCCACCAAACCCATAGATTTTATTCTGTGTTAGTCTAAATTACGTTCTGGTCATTTCAACATATCTACTCAAGTAGGACTATCCTTAGCTATGACTTTGTCTTGTCCTACAGTGTGGGGACTGCTTTTGCAGATAATGCATTTGAGTCTGTATTCTAAGGGGAGGTCTATGACCCCACCTTTCTTTCAGATCAGTAATGTTACTCAGTTGTGCATACATCTAAGTGCTTAAACAGTAGATTAAAGTATCAACTTCAGGCACAATTAGAATGTATATTTTTGTGTGTCTTTCTAACTGCTATCATAACATACTAGCTGCAGCATGCTATATGAAATTGATTTGCACCATTAATAAATCATATGCACTTATAGCTCTTGATAGGAAGCTTGAATGATCTCATTAATATTGGTAATTATTGATCATAGAAACAAGTCTCTCTTTCAGTAGGATACTTTAGGCATGGAATTATGCTTTGGCATTCTTGACCAGTCAGGCTTTCAAGTGTCTGTGTTTAACAGTTGAAGGGAGTGTACCCTAAAACAAGTGTGGTATTTTAAATTTCAAGTTTTGAAACTCCCTGTAACTACAATACTAATCATGGTTACATGGGTGCTTGCCCTGCTAAAACTAGCAGAACATCTGAAGAATGTTAGAAGCTACAATTTACATCTTGTTATTGCTGCCCAAACACTGGTATATGGTTGGAGGGGGCAAATTGGGGGTGCCAAAAAAAGTAGTGTGTGCTAATTATGGGCAAATACAGCTTCCAACACACTAAGAATGCGATGCTATAGTCTTGATTAAGTTAACATAATTTCTCCTTCAAAACACTCAGTAAAAGTTACTTCTGGAATACTGAACTTTAGAATAACTGGTCCAAAATGTTTGTAACTTGTATTTCACTTAAATTTTCCACCAAGCAGCTTCATGGGATGGCCACCATATAGCATTTTGAGATAAGAAAAATAGCTCCCTGTCCATGTTCTTCAAACCATTATTTTTTTTACATCACTTACATGTCCCCCTTTACTTTTTTGTAAAACTAAACAATCTTTATGGAACCTTGTAGGGAAATTACTCTTAATTCCTTAATCATTTTATTTGCCCTTTTCTGTATTTTGCTGAACTCCAGAATATCCCCTTTTTAGGTGCAGAGACCAGAGCTGTATACAGTTCTGTATACCTCAAGTTTGTATAAGGGGACTAGAGTTTTTACTTTCAGTTCCTTTCTTAATTATGCCTAACAAAGTTTGCGTTTTTCACAGCAGCTGCACTCTGGATTGACAGTTTTCATTTACCTTTCCACCACAACCACAAGAGCTTTTTCTTGGTCAGTCATCAGTGCCACAGATTTCATCAGTTTATTCTTGAAGCTGGAATTTTTGGCCCCAACATGCTTCATTTACACTTAACGGCATCTGCCATTTGAATGCCCATTCTCCCAGTTTGTAGAACTAGTTTTTGACCTCATTTTCTTTGGGTTTTAAAGCACGCTAAATAACTGGATTTTTTAAAGCAAACTTGGTCACCTCACTGTTCATCTCTACTTCTGAATAGGCTGAAAAGTCTCTTAATACAGATATTTTTATGAGCACCAGCGTTTATATCCCTCCCTTGGGAGAATTTAACATTTATTTCTGTCTGATCCTTAACCGGTGATTGCTCCTTAAGAGTCTGCTCCCCACACCCTTTATTCCATGACTGCTAAGTTTGCTAATTAGTTTTGGTGAGGGACTTTGTCAAAAGCCTTTTGGAAGTCCAAATTAACAATCTTTACCAAATCACCTCTGTCCATATGTTCATGGATACTCTCAAAGGATTCTAAGCCATTACTGAAGCAAGACTTAACCTTTTTAAAAATTGGGGCTACATTGACTATTCACCAGTCCTGAGGTAGATCTTGGGCATGTTACATGTTAGAACAGCTTTCCTTATTTAGGAACTTTTCATTGCCCTCAAAGTAAAGTTACAGCTTTCATACCTGAATGAATTTCATACAATTCCTAGTTCAAAGAACCTGCTAGGTTCCAGAACTCTCACTCCCTGATGAATACCATCTGAGCTTGGGTATTTACTAGTTTTCAGTTTGTTGATACCTACGTATTTGTTCCTGTTGCTCAGACACTCTTCTTGAAAATATCAATTCTGGCACAGGTATCTGTCCTACATCATCTGCGGTGAACATAATTCAGCTTCTTCATAATCTCCTTATCCTCTAGTATCATTTCTTCCTATGACAAAAGGACACTAATACCATTAGATCCATCTAGGCTGTGAGAAGGGAGAGCAGAATACTCAAAAGATTGTAGTAGCTCTTCAAGTGGGGGCCTGCTGCCCAATATTGTCATGGCAGAAATACTTAGAACTGTGGGGAAATATAATCTTTTCATGTGTGCTGCAACCCACAAGGGGAATGAATTACCACTCATAAAGTGTAGTTTTTATTTGACCTTAGTAATGTACCTCTCAGCTGGTTATTCATACTAGTCCTAAATATCTTGAAGAGTTACAACCAGCCCCAGCTCATATCCACTGCAGTGGTAGCATCTTCTGTTTTATGACATGTTCTTTCAAATAAAATTGTGATCTGTTTAGCTCTATTTATCCATGTCAGCCTTTTTTGCCTTCCACAGAAACATCCATCAAGGAAGCAGACACAGTCCGAGCTGTTGGCAGATGTTTAAGCAGACAAAACTAGGTGGAATGCTAAACTTCAAACAGAGCAAAGACTTCAGTCTATGTTCCCAACTAGTCATCATCGAAGAACCAACAACAACTGTTTTTCCTCTTTTCACACTTTAAATTTGTGAAAGAGCTGTCCAGAGACACAGTGATGGATGGCCTCGAAATATCCCAAATAAAACCCTCAGAGAAGGGGATGCCCCTATGTCATCTACCCATGTAGCTGTCAAAGTATGTTTGAAAAGAACACTAGAACTATTCTATTTTAGTACATGGCTGATCTAACTTAAAATTGGGCTTTATTTGCAAACCTCAAGTTTCAGGTGAATTGTTTGCATTTTAGTTTAGAAGGCATGGTAGCTTCCAAAGCAAATACTGCTGCACGGTGCTACCCTTAGGCTTTTGCATTCTGCCCCTTTCATAAGTGGGAAACTTTCATAAACCCAAGCGAGACTTCATGACAAGGTGTCATGGGAGCACCAGAACAGATTAAGGTATTTTCAGCCTATGCTTTTGAAGTGTAGAACTAGTGGCTTATTTTGATATCCTATTCCCTCAGTTAGTGTAGATCTGTCTTCCCTGATATGAGCTGACTATGCCCAGCCTTAACTTGGATGCACTAGATATAAGGTGAGTCAAACAAACCCCAGATTTAAGAAAAACATTCTTGCTTGAGGCAGAATTACCACTTATTCAAGAACAATTTTTGTAGCCCTAACTAGCTACAAAGGCCAAAGGCAAGTTCAGAGCCTAGAGGAACCCACAATCAAAGCAAGATACCCAACTGAGATTCTTGGTTCTAACCTGAGGGATTTCTAATAGCAACAGAGAACTCACTGACATTCAGCACTTTCACCAGCTCATAGAATTGCAGGTCATTGACAGTTAAACCAAAGGCAGTCTCTTTATTATCATTTCCACAACATGGAGAAATCTCACAGTATAGTATACAATTGACTCTGTTAAAAGTAAAGCTATTTCTGCTCTTCAACAGTGCAGATTGCTGCCTCTTTAGCTTCCATTTCAGTCCTTCACATGTGTTGCAAGGTCTGGCTGATAGGCAACAATATGCTGTAAGCAACATAGCCACTTTAAAATAGCTAAACTGTTCTTAAATTCTGAAGTAGGGCTGGATCAACTACCAACAAGCCTTCTGGAGGCCTTGAGCTACTTTCCAGAGCAGAATTGTCCAGGGGCTTGCTTCTCAGATAATTTGATCTCCTGGCCCATGAAACACAATGCCTTGTATGACTTGGTTCATTTGTCAGCAGTAGGAGGGATTGGAAGAGTGAGCTTTCAGTGAGTGACTTGATTGATGCACCAGAGTTTAAGCTTGGATGCATCAGAATAATCATGGATCAAAGAGCCATAGGCTGCTGCTTTGCAATAGACAAACCACTACTAGTCAGAGGAATAGCAAAGTGTGACATCTCCAGAGATGGTGTATCAGTTTTCATAGAGCCTAGGGACCCCAGTTCTTCTAAGCTTGCTTCTAGGGGAAGAGTGTTGTCAAGGGTGGCTTGTATTCCAGAAATCTCCCACACTGGTGGTGGTGGTGGCTTCTTGAAGATTGCACCATCATTCATTTCAGAGCTCTTCAACAGCATGTTCTCTGTTAGTTTAGAAAGTTTAACTTCTTTGCATGGGGTAGAAGATTTGGTATTACAGAATGTATGCCCTGTAGCATTGGCTTCACAATTATTTGCAGAACTCGGATTTGACAAGTCAAAAGTGCATGACTGAATGGGACTTTTGCAGAAAGATGTACCACCATCACATGAAACTTGCAGGTTTCCCTTCACAGTATTCAGAGGGGATTCAGTCACCTTTAGAGCCAAAGGACTGCTTTTGGTTAGATTCTGTATGTTGTTTACACTATCCCATGCATCAGATTTGGGAAGGCTGTTGATTTCCAGAAAACAACTGCTACCTGGAGAGATGCTGTAGCCAGAAGCGCCAATCAGAAAACCCTTTTCCATTATGTCTTTCAGTGACAAACTACTAGTAGAGCTTTGGGAAGACATCTTCTGCATTCCAAGTCAAGAGGTCAGTCTTCAAATGCTAATACCTAGTGGTAGACATTAACCTTGGGTTAATAAGGATTTTAAAAAATATATATATTGGGGGAAACCATGCAGTCCCTTTTCTGTCTAAACCTGCACAGGACTGTGCCTTTAGTTGCTAGCTACTTTAAGACACACACTAGAGCTAGTTGGATCCAGATCTGCCTTTCTGTGAATGAAGGGGCTTCCCCTCTCCCCTCGTATATAGAAGCAGATCTAACTGGATGCATTTGTACTTGGAAGAAAGGCCAATTTTTATCGATTTCCTTTTCTACTACTACTACCTTATCAATATACTGTTCAGACGGGCCCTAACCCTTCAGAGCAGATTTTGCGGGCATAAAGGACTGCATGGGGAGGGGAACACTGCAAACACTACCACTCTTCTAGCAATGAGGTTATCTTTACCAATATTCTGGGTACTCCTCCACACAGCTTTGCTTATCACTGGTCAGGTTGTTCTAACAGTACTTTTGGAGCCATATATCCTAATCTTAGGCATAAAAGAATGCATATGCAAACCATAGGATGGCAGCTATAGCAGTATTTATCCAGTTGTGTTTTTATAAACTCCAGGTGCTTACCACCTGGATTTCAATATACAGGAAAAAAAGAGAGCAACATGCACTTATTTTTGTTACATGCACTCAGGTTTGATTAGATAGTGTTGACAAAAGTTTGTTCATATGCCTTTATGGAATCTCTTTGAAGGACACAGAATAAACCAGCAATGACTCTTTCCCTACAAGTGTTCAGACTTGGGAGATGATTGCTTCAGGCTGCAGCAAAAATCAACAAACTTAATTCCAGGATATGGTTTATCATTGCAAAGCCAATGCACAGCCTACCCATTATAAAACAGACCTGATGCAAACAGTTGGAACTTATGCCATAACTGGAAGCATTACTGCACCCTTGCTCATGGCAACTAACATACTAGAATTAAAACAACAACAACTAGCAGTAGTCATACATATTCTTACAATGGTTAAAATATGTATTGCAAGTGAAGTTATCCTCTCTACTTTACCATTCTATACTAGTGATTTAAAGCCAAATTTTAAGATGGGCCAAAGCTTTTGACACAGGTGTTTGTATTTTTTCCCTTCTCTAGACAGCCATGTTTCCTTAAAACAAAGCCACACCTCAAAAAATAGACGTATAACAAGCATAAGGTCACAAACTTTTTAGGTAGCTATGTCTAATCCTCTAGTTAAGCAGGAATCTAATTTAAAGCTGTCTCATCTCTGCTTTGATACCTCCAACAACAAAGAACCCACCATTCAAATCCAGATCAGTGCACTATAATTTTGCTAACTATACCTTAAACCAATGAAAGAGATCAAGCTGGTTACTAGAACACCAGTTCCCTATAACTTAGTTCCAGTGGGTTACTTATACAACATTCATTTATCAAAATTCTATTCTAGATATAACTTACCTTTTCTTTCTTTCTAAGATCAAACTTGAATTCCTCCTCTCTGATAATGCCTTTTCATAGATTGCTGCAGCACTCTTTCTTAATTTTCCAATTAAGCTTGATTGCAAGGAAATCAACAGTGTTCTGAAGACACCACCTGAAGATGATCATGGGGAATTGAATGAGCAGGGATAGATTAATTAACTCTATAAAAACTTTTGTACTACAAAAAGCATACTCTTGAAATATACAAATAAGTTACTTTGAACCAGTAAAACTCAAAACACTTATTCTACACATGAAGTATCTAATACAATATAACCCTTTTTAATCTCAAAAACTTAAAATGTGCAGTCTTTTTCTTCCATTTGCATTTATGTTAAACTTTGTCATTTTTAGTAATAAGACAAACAGAACATTGATGCTAAAGCCAAGATCAAAATGCATCAATGATGAAATAATGGTAAAGGCTTCTCAACAGGCATTCTTAAATGCCTTTCCAGAAAATCAGTAGCTTTGTTCCTGGTGTTCTGGCTCCTTTAAATGTTTTGATTTGGTAATTGTCTTTACCAGCAGCACATAGGTAATAATACAGCAGGTGCAGTTTTCATGCTATAGACATGCATGTTGTCCTGAATTAGACAGCCATTATTAACCAAACAACCACACCTATAGATGGTTTAAACAGAAAAGGGTTTTAAAGCTCTCAGCATTTCCCAGCCAACATCCATTGGCCTGTATCCCTAACTAAATTGCCTAAAATAATTTTCAACAGTAATCTGTAATCTGCATTGAATTCAGATGACTCAGGAGGGTAATGCTTCATAGGGATGAAAGGAGTGACCTATGGTGCCTGTTTAAGTCACCCTGTCATGCTATTTGTTAGGTTCAACAATCCCTGTATTCCTGGAATTTGCATCCCAATTTCCTGCTCTCATTTCAGTGCTGTCAGACCAACCCTATCAATGTTTATGCAGAGGTACATCCTACTGAGCTCAGTGTACTCCTAGGCAGTGCTATCCTAAACACTGTTATTACAAATCCCCTCATTAAGGTTTGTAGCCTAAAATACAAATGAAATTAGTGGGAATAAGACCAGTAATGCCACTTAATGGCATTGACTATGAATACTATATCTAATCCCTAATGTCAATGCTGTGACTTTCCTATAAGGCCTATTTTGAAGAGGATCTTTTAACTGGTAGATTAATGTTGCTTAGTTGCTGAAAGAAAACTCTCTCTCAAATTTGTACCCAAAAACAAAACAGATAAAGCAAGGAATTTTCTATTTTGCTGGCTCTAACAACTTTATGCATATGTGCATACTGAAATTCTAGAAATTATAGTTATTAGGGATTATACTGCATGGCATTAAAATACACAATTTAAAGTCCATGGTTAAAAAGTGGGTTCTTTGTTGAAATGTAATTGAACACCCTGTGCTTTTGTTGGTGTGGATACAAAGTTTCTATCTATTACCCTCAGTGTTTGTTTTAGTGTGGTGCCTTAGCAATGAAGAAATGCTCGCTTTGAAAACTTCTAACATTTTTAATATGATAAGCCTGTAACCACACCTGATGCATTCCAGAGAGTTATCTGTGTTAGTCTGGCAGCAAGAAATAAAAGTTCTATAGCACTTTAAAGACTAACAAATGCATTCTAGGATAAATACCATTTATCAACTATTCCCTCCACCTCAGTTTGAATAAAGACAAAGGGTTCCACCTATTATCACATTACATACATTAATCAGCTGGTAAGGTTATCATCCAAGGATGATGGGTAAGGTTATCATCCAAGGAAGTTTTGTGAATGGCAGCTGTTAAGATTATTATCACAATCTCTACTTTGCATTTCAATTCTCTCTTTGAACCCAGTTTATATTTCTCCTTCAGCTCCATCATGTATAGATAAAGCTGCCAATCTGAGGTAAGCTCTTCATGCATTGATGAAGTAACCCTGCCTAAAAAGTTTGTCGGGATAATCTTTTTAGGATACCCAAGACTTTTTGCAACAGGACAACACTGCTATTCCTCCAAAAATATATTTTGGTGTAAGCTTTCCTGGGCTGGAATTCACCTCAGCAGATGCAAAATGTGCTATCTCAGAAGTCAGAGGAAATTTAAAAGCCAATAAAGTGGAATCAAAAGGCAAGAAAAGTGAGAGATATTATTAGGTGTATCATATTACTATGGCAGAGTGCAAAATGAATACAAGATTCAGTCAGGTTACATGTAACCAACATCTCACTGATAGCTGATGAGAAATCAGCTTTTCTTTCCAGAAAACAGAAGCTGTTTAGTTACCTTATTAATACACAATGATTATGAATAAGTGAGGAATGCTCAACCACAAATTCCATTTGGAGATGTTTTAGCTGAAAGGGCTGGGGCCAATTATGCTTTAAAAAATAGCATAATTTAAACCAAAGGTAGAACCTTAGCAGAGACATCTCAACCTTTTAGATGGGAAACTGTGCATAAGCTGGAAAGCCACCAAATGATTGGTACTTAAGAAAAAAAATTGCTGCCATCTGGGAACCAGACTTGAGGCTTTGTGTCCCTGTTCTGGGAACTGCTTCCATATATTTAGTTCACATGCTTTTCCAACAGTTAGATCAATAGATTAAGATGGGTAACTATGTAAATCTATTGCCACATAAACAAAAGTCTTGTGGCCCTGTTAAAGCTTACAGGTTTACTTTGGAATGTCATTCTGGAGCTTTGGCTGTTGTGTGGTATAGAAATAATAATTTTTATAACAATAAGCCACCTGTTAAGAAGAATCCTGTGTATCAGGCAATTGCCATGCCTACTTCCATGTGACTGACATGGGAAGAAGCCATCTCTGTAACATCATCCTTAAGATGATCCAGACTGACCAAGATTCTTTGGCCTAAGCTTCACACACAATGTTTGGCCATCACTTTGCTATCATCAAGAAACAGTGAATGCAAGTAGACTAGGAGTGTACACTCAAAATAATAGATGTATGTATTTCAAACATACAGGAAATACAAGCAGCCTGTAAGTAGCCCTGAAAGGGACTATAAAGAAGATTCTGTACAGGATGCAGAGGTACATCCTGGGTATCAGATCAGGAAGAGGGTACCAGTTCAGGTGGATGGTTAGCAAAAGGCATAGAGAAACAACATCTTGAATATAGCAAGAAAAGGGACAAAAGAGGAAGGAATTTCAAGACAGACAGATATCAGCATATCTGAACCAGGTGTATATGAGGAACAAGACTGACAACATGAGTTTCCTGATCAGATCAGGATGTCCATCATAACAATTTAAAACTGTTCTTGTCAGTTTCAAGCTTTCTGTAGCCATATTATGGCAAATATCTGACACTATCTTTTAAGAAATAATATTAGGTGAACAAAAACTTGGGCATTGTTCCTAATCAATGCAGAAGCATGTATGTTTTCTACAGTAAATGGGTCATGCCTGTAAATATATTTATATCATCACAATGCCACTGTCTGCCTTAGTACCACCTAACTGCATTCATTACACACATGTAAGTGTTGATTTAATTGTATTGCAAGGAAAGTATTGCCAAGGTTTAGCACAGATAATTTCGTCTGAATGTGAGACACGTGGAAATTCAAGGAGTGAGCTTTCCCAGTATGCAGCTATACAAGTATAGGAGGGAAGCATCTTCTGTTGGATTCTTGTGATACAGCAGAGAAAGACACTGGAGCCCCCTGCTGGAGCAAAAACCTGAAACCCTCGAAGCTTGAAAACCAGAGTTGGAGAGAGTGTGGTGTAACGGTTAGAGTAACAGGTTTCAGAGCAGAGAGTGGCCGATCTGGATCCTGAAGTTGGCTGGGCGACGCTGGGACGGCCAGTTGCAGGCTTACCTACCACACAGGATTGCAGTGAAGATAAAGTAGTGGTGGCGCTTACGGGGCACCGCGCGCGTCGCCTGAACCCATTGGAAGCAGGGCAGGGTAAAAATGTAATACCCGGAAAAGAAAGGTTATGGCTCCGCAGCCTGTATTGCTTGGCAACAAAGTTAAGTTTTCCAGCAACGGTGGGCAGCCATCTGAGAGGGAGGGTTTAACCTGGTGTCCTGCACTGAGCAGGGGGATGGACCCTCTGGCCCTCTGGCCCCTTGCACTCTACTACTCTATGAAGAGCCACAAATACTCTCTTTCGGAGCAGCGTCTTTAAAAAAAAATCCCATTTCCCCATCCCGCAGTCACTGATTTTACATGTCTGCGTTTTTAGATTTGTGGCTGTAGTGCTTGCTTCGACTTTAGGGATTGTTCTGCTCCTCCTCGCGTACACAAAATTGCAACTTGCCCGCGCGCGCCACTTCTCTCCTCCTCCCTCCCAGTAGAACTGAGCTTTGCGTCAGTCTTGCGTAGGCAACGTCATGACGCCGGAAAAGGTGGCTGGCTGGGGTGGAGTTGGCGCGAGATAGGAAAGTGCCTTTTGGTTTCGGGGTTGCAGCTGCACGAACTCGGCTGTGCGCGCGCGGTTCATGGGGGTCTTTTAGCAGCATCCTCCCTAGCAGCGCCCTGGGCGGCTGCTGCTTCGGCAGCAAGATCCAGCAGCCTCTTACAGCAGACCTCCTGGAGGATTATTTTTCGTCTTCTGCTTATTTTTATTCCCTTAACACAGGAACGGACAGGATGTCCCGCAAGGTTCACTGGTGAGTTGCGCTGCATTTATTTGGGGAGAGTTTTCCGCCCGTTCTGGAAGGCGCATTTTAGGATAGATTGGAATTTTTTTTTGGGGGGGAGAGAAAATCCTCTGCCCCCCACATTTACGGAAGCTAGTTTCCCCCGCGACTCCCCAGGACCAGCAATGCCTCCGATTCGTTGCTGCATTTCCAACGGTAATGGATCATGCAGGGAGAATGGACACATCACTAATTCGGTAGACGATTAATTTTGGTAAGACCAACTGGCATTATCTGAAAGGGGGATCTTTAAGGTGCCTAAAATGGCCCGCGTGAAATGTCAGGGCGGGGAGAGGAACCAAAATCCTTTTTGCGCCAAGCGGTGGGTGGGGGAGGGTGAAAGGAAGCGGCTTGCCTCCCTTTCCTTTAGTGATCGATTTATTTTGCATTAATTGTCTGATATTATTGCAAAGAGGGGAAACTCGAGTAGGTGACTGCATTTGTAAGTCAAAATTGGGAGTGAGATTTTTTTTATTACTGATTTTTTCCTCTCCCTTCCCTCCCCCACGCCCAGCAATCTTGCTGAATGCCTTTTGGTGCTACTGAAATGCACTGACACACTGAAGTGGAATGGTGGCGATTCTTTTGCTGAATTGGGGCAGGAAGGTTTTAGTTCTGTGTTATGGTATGTTAGTTTGTGCATCTGTTAAGGAACTCATAGGAATGCTGTGTTCATCCGAAGTGTAATGGTGTGTTAAAGATGGACGAGACAGCCTGAAGTCCTGCCTGGTGGCTAAATTTTCTTTCTTCCTAAATATTCATAGGATCCATTAGTTTGATGATGGATATGGATAAAGTATTCCCCCATTTCCAGATGGTCAGGCTTGCATGTGAATGCTATTTTATTTATTAAATTGAGCTTCTATCTCATCCTGTCCCAAGGTCTTTGAGCAGGCCCCATGTTATTTTACCCTACCCTTGGTTACTCAGAGTAAGCGGGGATAAAAAATGTCTTGCATTGGGAGAAACACAAGTGTAAGCTTTGGTGAGTTTCCAAAAGGAGAGAATTTCCAAGCTGAGGTTAGGTGCTGGACTGGCAAACAGGATTGTTGGTTCCAAAATTGCCCCCTGAAGATGTCTTTGCCCACCTGCTTATTCCTTCTCGTTTCTTCCTCCATTGTGCCACCCAAGCTGCAGTATTGAGTCCACTTACATGTAGTGAGCAGTGCACACGCTTAGGTTCACACAGTAGTACAGATTCAAGGTCAGTCAGGGACCAGTCTTATGTTTGTATAGTCACAAAAAGGACCTACAATTCCCAGCATTTCCCAACCAGCTGTGTCTTCTGGGGCATGCTGGGACTTTCCTGTGGTAGATGAAAATGCGCCCAAAGTATTTCTGCTCTGCCAGGTAGAATGAACTGGAATTCTGAACCAATGAATTGGGTGCTACTTGGTGATACCAGGGTAACATACTTTCTCTTTAAACCTTGCCTGTAACAGTGATGAGCAAGATGATCTGCATTATCAGGATTCAGATGTACCAGAACGTCGGGATAACAGATGCAAAGTCAAGTGGACTCGTGAAGAGGTATGTCCCATGTACTTTATGAAGGACAAAATGGGGAAACTGGGAGTGGGCCTTGACAGAAGCTGGCTAAAAAACTTCTTCATGATATACAAGAGGAGCTTTTCTGGGAATTCCCTCCAAAAAGAAAGAAAGATACAAATTTAAAAAAACAAATAAAATGGGAATGAGAGAGGTTTTCTAAGTTGGCTTCTGTAAAGCGATGAGGGCTAGTAACTTGTTTTTCAAAGTAAACAAGTCTCGATACATTGAAGGAGTGACATTCTGCCCATAAGTATTGCACTTGAGATTGTTGCAATTTACATGACCAGACTTGGCCAAACTATACAGGGTAAAAATATGTGAATGCACATGCAAGTAGACATTTTTGGGGATCAAATCTTGTCATTCAGCCATCCCTAAACCTTCTAGATATTGTGCAATGAGCAGAGCTTTCTGCAGCAACAGCTAACTAACCATGTGGTGGAGCTATCCAGTTCTTTCCATATGCTACTCTCAGACCACTCCATTCTCTTTTGTTGTGCAGATACATGCCAGCAGGAATTGAAGAGTGGGGCAGCTCTTCCAAGCTATTACCTTGAGCCCTGTTGCTTCCCCTGTTCAGGGCATAAGGGCAGCCTTGCAGATAAGATACACTTGTGCATCATATCCTGCGCAGTATAATGTAAGGCCTTGTTTCTAAGCTAACTCCTCAATTGGCTGGGTGATACAGAGGGATAGCTATAATAGTAAGTTAAGTGATGAAACATACTGGGGTTTCAGGCCTTTATGCCCTATTTTGGCATGCTCTATATAACCTATGATGTTCCAATGCCATTTCAATTTGCTGACTTAGTCTCTTGTTTTTGCAATATTTCGTTGGGACATGATGGAAACCCTTTTCAAACATCATATTGTAATACACATTACTTATGTACAATTGCTTTTTGCAGGATGAGCTGCTGAATTCACTGGTGACACAGTATGGACATGATTGGAAGTTTCTAGCAAGCCATTTTCCTGTAAGTAGAGTTCTTAAGATATCTTTTCCATCTCTTTCTAACAGTCAAATGGGAGGTGCAGTTAACAAAATCAAGCTGCTAGTTGAATAAGGTTGCATTCTTTATCGTTTTTTCTGATTTCTTTTTTGCTTGTCTGTGCAGTCTTCCTTCTAACGTGTACTTATTTAAATTTGTTTACAGAACCGCACTGAACAGCAGTGTCAATACCGCTGGTTAAGGGTACTAAACCCTGTCCTGGTTAAAGGTCCTTGGACTAAACAAGAAGACCAGAAGGTAACTGGCAAGTAATGGGAGACAGGACAGAGGTGTACAGAATTATGCATGGTGTGGAGAAAGTGGATGAGGAGACGTTTTTCTTTTTCTCCCATAATAATGGACCAAAGAGGGTCATCCCACAGAATTGACTGGTGGGAGATTTAGGACAGGAAGGAAGGAAGGAAGAACTTAGTTAAGCTTAGTTAATTCACTTCCACAAAACGTAGTGATGGCTCCCAATTTGGATAGCTTTAAAAGGGAATTGGACAAATTAATGGAGGAGAAGGCTATCATGGCTTCTGGTCCTGGTTGCTATAAGCTGCTTCCAATAGTAGAATCAATGAGCCTATGTATACCGCAGAAAACTTAGGCAAGTGGGTGCTGTGGAGACATGCCCTACATGTGGGATCCTGTGGGCAGCTGGTTGGCCACCCTGTGAATACAAAGCTGGGATAGATGGAGCACTGGTCTGATCCTGGTTCTTGCTCTTCTAGTCTATCTTATTTCTCAGCATTGACTTTTCTGGTTGAAGAAGCTCAAGCACCATCCTCGTTCTGTTATTTACATATTTATATCAGCCTTTTCTTGCAAGGAAACAAGGCAGCTTACATAATCTTCCTCCTTTCCATTTTACCCTCAAACAACAACCTGGGGAGGTGAGGTCAGGCTGAGGATCAATGATTGGTCCAAAGTCAACCAGTGAACTTCATGGCTGACTGGGGAATTGATCTTGGATCTTGCAAGTCCTAGTTCAACATGTTAACTACTATGTCACACTGGCTTTCCATCTCATGAACTCTAGTTGACTGGTAGAACTTTCTTGAGTTCAAGTGGTGGTAGAATATCTGCGTGTTATTCTGCCACAGCAAGGCTTAAATTAAGAGAGAAATTACACAGAAAGTAATTATTTGCTAACATTTTGGCTACAAGGACCACTCCAAACTATAATTAGTTTAGTCCCTGGTTTGTGGAAAAAATTATGTATGTATGTATTTATTTGGGAAACTTGTATGCCGCCCCTTTCGCATAAGCCTCGGCGCCCCTTTGCAGCAGTACTTGCAATAGTCTTATTTTGTCTATGGAAAAGGTCCTCAAAACCTTGTGAGGTTCTAATCTTCTAAGATACTAACTTTCTTCTTGAGGATCTGTAGTAAAAATGCAAACTCCCAAGCTGCTTCTACTATCTTTAATTTGCTATATATATTCACTAAGGAATATGTTCCATGTATGTAAATGTAATGCAATAATAATAACATCTTATGAGTAAATTTGCAAAAGTGTGTGCTACTACCATCTTAATAGTTTTCATTAGTACTGAATGACCTGGATTTTCTAATGCTAATGACTGCTGTGTTTACTGTGAGCAAGCAACATCTGCATGGAGTCTACACATACGCAACTACGTGCCTAAGATCATTTCTACCCAATTTTGGAATTCTACTTTCCCAAGTAGATCTTGATTTCAAAAAGAGAGCCCTGTTCATGAATTTATTCATGTGCAGACTTCTGGTAGACCAGGAGTCCTCGAACTTTTTCACCAGGGGGCCAGTTGAAAGGTGCCGGTGCTGGGCGCGGGCCAGCAAGGTGGTGCCAGCGGGGTGCATGGGCCAGCAAGGAGGTGGGACGGTGCGTGCGGGCATACTCACTGAGGTGGGGGCGTGCGTGCGAAGGGAGGCGGGGGCGGGCACGCACCACAAGGCAGGTGCACGAGGCAGCGGCTTGCTTGCATGTAGATCATTTTCTCCGAAAGAATCCAAAGTGATCTCGCGAGCAAGCCGCCACCTCCCTGGATGCATTGCACGCGGGTGCGCTCATGGTGCGTTGGAAACCTCTGAGGCGGGCTGGATAAATGGCCATGGTGGACCAGATCCGGCCCCCGGACCGTAGTTTGAGGACCCATGTGGTAGACATTCAGCTGAGCATATGCCTACTGGGAGTACAGCCTGCTTTCTTCTAATGTGTGCATGCATTAATAGGGCTGTTGTACTAACAGGGCTAGATATAGAAGGTACTGCAAAGGGTCTTGATAACAGGTTGTTATAGATCAGAAATGAGCAAGACTTGAACAGGTCTGCATTGTCAAGATCACTGTGACCCCTGAACTGATCTTCAGGCTCTGTCTGTAGGATATGTAGACTGACTTGAGAAGCTGTAGCAATTACATTTTTGTTTTGCTATGCCTTGTCTATAGAAAAATGGCTATGCAAGCTGTGTGTGGGTGTGTGCTCCATGTGCCGTCTGCAATGCACTCGCATGGATGCTGATACAAGGGGTGGGACAATGGGGAATCCAAACATCAAATCTCAGTTGTTCACACTGAAGAAAAGTGGGAACTCTCCATAACTTTATCAGAGCATCCTTGTGGACTTGCTGGATGCACACGGCAAAAACTACGGACAAGACAATGTTTTGTAACTTTCATCTTATTTTTGCTGCCAGGTCATTGAACTGGTGAAAAAATATGGCACAAAGCAATGGACGCTCATAGCTAAGCACTTGAAAGGCCGGCTAGGGAAGCAATGCCGGGAACGCTGGCACAACCACTTGAACCCCGAGGTGAAAAAGTCATCATGGACGGAGGAGGAAGACCGTATAATCTGCGAGGCACACAAGGTTCTGGGAAACCGGTGGGCTGAGATTGCAAAGTTGCTGCCTGGAAGGTAGGCTCCTTACAGTTGAAGAAGGGCCTCTGAGTTGTTCTCAACCACAGTGGAGTAGCTCAGAGGAACAGAGTAATACTAGGTTGCTTCTCCTTTTGTGATTGGCCTTTCATGCATGCATGCATGCCTTCCATGGTCTATTTTTACAGGACTGACAATGCTGTGAAAAACCATTGGAATTCCACAATCAAAAGGAAGGTGGACATAGGAGGTTTTCTTAATGAAACAAAAGAATCCAAGCCCCTGTATCTGCTAGTGGAAGTGGATGGCAAAGAAAGCCAAAATGTAACAGAATCTGAGAACCAGGTAGTGTGAAACCATTCTAGTTTTAATGTAGTTAAAAATATTTTAGTTTTTGTAATAGCTTAAAATACTGAATTTGGTTTTCACAGACTTGCAGGGGAGGAAATATCACAATATTCAGTGCATTCTTAAATTAATTTGCCTAATATTTTCATAAGGTTATATATTTCAGTTTTGCACTTGCTTGGGAATAATTATGCCACTTTTCTAATCCAGTGGATCAAACAGTGGGTGAAATAAGGCTGATAAGGGTAGGCAGCAGTATCTTCTGTAGCTGAGACACTGGCTTGGAGCCTCTGCCTGCAGAACTTTGTTTTTTATACACTCTCAGATGTTCCACATTGTGAAACAGTTTGTATTTTGTAATTCAAATTGGCCTTAGCCTTGCCCAAACTGGCACACTCCAGAGGTGGTGCGCTACAATGCCATCTTGTGCCATGTGATATGGGGATGATGGGAGTTGTAGTCTAACACTTGGTTAGTGCTTGATTGGGGGAGGTTGGCCTCACTTGTCAAGGGCTGGGAAAGGGAAAAGTTGTGTGGAGGTAGAAAGTTCTGAGCAAGCAAGATTTCATTTAGATGCAAACTGAAAGATAAACGAATGTATCATTGCTTCTGGAAAAACAGATGGATTAGAAGTATGTTGTTACTTTATGTATGTTCTGTGCAAGATACAGAAGAAGCTTAAACAAGCTTTGATTTTTATTTAATTATTTATTTAAAACATTTCTATGCCGCCCGCATCGCAACAAAGGCTCGGGGCGGCTCACAGATTTAGTTCTGAAAGCAGGTTTTGTCCTTTTCCTCCAGATGCTGGCTCATTTTTAAAACCTTGATGCTGTTTGGCAGCAGCTTATGAAATCAATGTGGTCATTTGGTAATGATGCAGATCTTCCTTTGCTTTCACAGCAAACCTTCTTAACTAACTGGCCTGTTCAGAGCTTGGAAATCAAAGAGGAGGAAGTCATCAAGGAAGAGCCAGTTGGTTTGCAAATGCTGCCTTCTGAGCAACTTGCGGAAAGCCTGGCAGAAGACCATGTCAAGGAAGCATCAGAAGATATGGCACCTGACAGTGCCCTGGAGGAAGGTTCCTCTTCATACACATGGGTGGTCGAACCAGGCAGTTACTTGTGCAGCACTTCCGTCCCAGCCATTGCTGAAGCCCTGGACTTGATTGAATCTGTAAGAAGCCAATTGGTGTACATTTCCATAAAGAACAGGAAGTTATTTGCAAAGGCAGGGACTTTGCACCTCAGTTGAGCCTAGCCTCAAAGACTCTGGTGCTATCTGTACAGAACTGTCACAGTCCTTGAAATTTCATTCCTTTTCCCTATGTACACAATAGTAGTTAATTATAGGCTTTCTGTTTTCTTGACTGAGCATCTAAGAATATGTCTAGAAAGCAGGAAGAAAAATGCAACCATACACACAGTCCCCACCCCAGGTATACTGTGTATAGATTTTGAAGACCACTAAGTTTTGCTAATTCTGCATCTATGATGTGCCCGTGGAGGCTCTCTTGGAGTTTGCCAGGTTCCCTGCCCCTTCATTTATTTAACTGGGAAATCAATATGCTTCAAGCAAAATACTGCCCCTGGTGCTATCTGAGGGCTTGGCTTGGCTTTTTTTGAGTTCAGACTCCACCTCTTCCTTGCGTTTAGGTTCATGAACATTTTATTTTGTGAAATGGGAATTTTATAACCAACTATGGTAGCCACTTTACGAACAGGCAACTGCTGTTCAGCCTTAGCAATTATTTTGTGAAAGTCCCCCCAACACTCCCAAAAATGCATGTATGCCCATTGATCCAAAAAGTCTGGGGACCTCTGATAACAGTGGTAGATGACAAGTTTTACATAGAGTGTGGTAACCTTATAGAAGTTAAAACAAAAGAAGCCATGTGTTCTCTTCATGGATTGTTTGTGGCTAAAAAAAGGTCATGGCTTCTTGGCACAGCTGGGTCGAGATAATGAAATTTCACATGCGATGGATGTTGTGCATGATAACCCACCATAGGTACTCTTGAGTGTGGATTATCTTGTCTGAACCCATTCACTCTCTTAAAGGAGAAGTCACTTTAGAAAGCACCCGAAGAGTGTTAACAAGATTTATAGCTTGGGTGTTCAGTTTGTAGGCCACAGGAACACAAAAGCCAAAATCCCTCTCCATTGGCTATGCTGGCTAGTACTGATAGAATTTGTTGGCCAAGAGATCTGAATTGCACAGATTGCACATCCCTCATACAGAGGGGAAAAGCTAATGCCCGAACTGAGCTGTGCTTATCGTAATTCAATGTACATCTCTTAGTAGTGAGTTACTCTGATACTGCTGCTCTTTAAAGCATTGTTTTATTGCAACTTTACCCAGATCTCTTCTCCATTTTCCTATTCTGGCAGGACCCAGATGGTTGGTGTGATCTGTCTCAGTTTGACCTGCCTGATGATTTTTCCGCAACTAACATGAACAGCCCGGATCAGCAAACATCCATCAAGCCGTATTCTTCCTCGCAGAACGTGACAGAGTACCGTTTGGATGGCCACACAATTTCAGATCTGAGCAAAGGCAGCAAGGGTGAACTCATTCCCATTTCCCCACGCACGGACATGAGCTTTGGCACGCCACCTTCTGTACTGAAGCGGCAGAAGAAGAGGAAGATCAGTCTCTCGCCAGTTTCAGAGGGTGGCACAAGCACTAGTTTCTCCTTCCTGGATTCCTGTAACAGTCTGACCCCTAAGAGCACCCCTGTCAAGAGCACCCCAGTCAAGACGCTGCCGTTCTCTCCTTCCCAGGTGAGTGGGTGTCAAAAGCTAATACATGGGCTCCAGAAGTGAAACGGTGGCTACTTCTGTGTACGGCTCTGTGAGAGATTGTGTTCTTGTGATGTCTCCATATTTTCATGGCTGGCTGCAGTCTGCCCTAGTTCTACATGGAAACTGCTCAGTTGAGTTGTGGAAGTTGGGATGGGTGAACAAGTGATGTTCATGCATGCCCAGATTTTCTGAAGGTCAGCTTGATGTTCTTCTTGTCTTGTTTACCAAAGTCACTCCGGGTCTGTACAATTTGTGCAGATAATAAAATGGTGCAAATCAAATTGAAAATTGCATGGAAGACTGCATATTTTCAAAGCTGTGGAATGTCCTCCGTTGACTAAAGCATGGATTTGAATGGTTTTTAAATTGCAGAATTATGAACTGTTTATTTGAAAAAAAAATCATATGCAACCATATGCTTGACAGTTTACAACATTCAACATGTGCAGGGAACACATTCTCCTGCTTGTGTTTGTATTTGGGGTTGTAAGTAGGGCTTGCTCAACTGTTTGCAATGAACATCTTACATTTTTGCTAGAAACCAGGCTTATACACTTATAAAATTACCAGAGAGCTTGTTTTTCAGTTATTACTTAAGTCACAGAACTTATTCTTCTCTCTTATGTTTGGGGCACTAGATGCTGTCTAGGAAGTCACAGGACATATCAGAGATTCAGCTGAAACTCCCATGTTGGGGCACTCCCATGTTGGGTTTTATTAGCACAAATGGGTTTTACATGTTCTTATTCTGGTTTTTCTTTTTCCTTGTTCACAGTTCAAGAATCTTGTTCAATACAAAGCAGTATGCATGTTTAGTAAAATAAAGGGTACAAGCCTGACATTGCTCAGCATGTCATGCCCAGGGCATGCTGGGAGAGACAGGCCTTTTCTTTCGTCTAAATATGCATGTAATTGCATTCCAATAAATTAAGGTGTTAGACACTTGCAGTTATGCGGCTCTGTGGTCAGCAGCTTTGTTCCTAAAGACCAGTGGCCTGCTTACTGGAGTTAACAGAGCTTTCAAGCTCATATGGTAACTAGCTCTGAAAATTTGAGAATGGATCCAGAGCAGATCTGATACCAAATCTAAAATCAATTATTCCTGATCTCACACTGGTCCATTTTTGTTGTGCCTGGTTAGGAATGTTCTTTGAACCAAAGTCCATTGTCCATTTATAAAGGACTACAATCTTTGCTGCTTGAAAAGAGGTAGTTTTCTTGTAACAGACTCTCCATTGGTCCAGGTAGCTTGGTATTGTCTGTCCTGAATCTGGGACCTTTTGCATATCACACACTGAATCATTAAGCTGTGGCCCTTGCTCTGGCTGTAGAGATGGAAAGGAGTGCTTACCCTTAGAATGCCTGTCCATTCTCTGCTGCATGTTCTTGCCTTGAGGTAGTTCTCATTCCACCTTGCTTACAGTTGTGGAATCCATCTGGGAAAGGGGAGGAAGCAACTAAAAATGGCTTGGAGGGCAGTGGAGAATCAGCAGGCACTTATTGTTCCCTGCACGTACTTCCCACCCTGCATTAGTAGCTGCAGGAAACGCTGTTAAGGTCTAGGAACTGTGTGAGCTGTGAAGTCTGCAAATCTAATTTCCTTCTTGAATTTAAGAGATGTTTTTCATACTAAGGATGCAGCATTCATGTTTGATGATGCCATAATTGTTTGATTCCCTGCCAGAAGCATATTGCTGGGATATTAAAACAGAAACAAACAGGTCAGTGAGGCATGCAACACCCTGATACCCATAGCTGGATGTGTTGAAGACTAAAACAAAGAGGAAAAAGATAAAAGGAAACCATTTTACTCATCCTATTTTTTCCTTTTCTAGTTTTTGGATGTGCCCTTAGCGGGGGGAAAAAAGCTGCTTTACAACTTTCCAATGCGACAAGCATGTCAGAAACACAGGAAACTCTCCTATTGAGTCAGAGTATTGGTCCATATAGTTCAGTATTGCTTACCCTACATGGTGGCAATCAGGTGCTCTCACATGTTTTGAGCTACTACTCACATAAGATGCAGTCAGAATGGCCAGTGGACAGAGATTATGAGAGCTGTAGACCAAAATAATAGGAGGAACCAAGGTTGCCTACGCTGACTGGGAGTGGCTCACTGGAGTTTTAGACAGCCCTGTTTGGAGGTGGCAGAAATTGAATGATGAACCACAATAAAACTGCTATTCTGCCACAAGGGAAAGGCAGACTCCTCACCTATGAGAGCAGGCTAGAAGCTCTGCATGACACTTTGAAGACCACTCAGCCTGCAAGTTCTAGAAATGACTGAATGACTCATGGCCTTCCCATGTTGCCACTTCGTATCAAAAATACTTGTTGAATTAAGGCATGGATTGCTTTACAAAATTAACTGAATCTGTTTGCCAGCTCTCTTCTACCTTATTCTACCTTGATTTGGCAGTTCCTGAATTTTTGGACCAAACAAGACAACCTTGACCTGGAGAACCCATCCTTAACATCCACGCCTGTCTGCAGCCAGAAAGTAATAGTGACAACCCCACTACACAGAGATAAGACACCATTGCTCCAGAAAAACTCTGCGTAAGTCTTCTCTTTTCCATCTTGCTCACTCCAGCTTGCATCCTGCAGTTGGGAAGGCCCAGATTTCAGTGTGATATGACTGGACCTTAGTGATGGGTATGGGAATGCTTCAGGCTGTAGCAGTGATGGTGAACCTATGGCACGCATGCAACAGCGGGCACACAGAGCCCTCTCTATCGGCACGCAAGCCAAGTCGCCGCAGCATTGCCCCAGAAGCCGAGCATTGGATAATAGTGTATATAGGGGCCATGCGCATGTTCGGAAAGTAGTGGTGCCAGGTGATGACTTCACAAGCCATGAATCATTAGCTGCGACTCGTCTGAGCTTTTGCATGGCCGGTCAGTGCACTGCCAAGGATATATATATATATATATTTGCTTGGACTGGCTGTGAGGTGTTTTTTTCTAAACTATAAAACCTCAGTTTTCAGGTTTTATTGCAGTGTTGGCACTTTGCGATAGATAAGTGAGTTTTGGGTTCCAGTTTGGGCACTCCATCTCTAAAAGGTTCACCATCACTGTGTTAAGGATAGAAAAGTGAGGTATCCTAGCATGATATTGATGGTTGGAATGTGTTTAGGATGGGCAGAAATGTTGGGCTGTGCAGAAAAAGCTACTCAAGTAAGGCTTTTTCCAAATCGCATAATTTTCAATGTTATTTCACTCATATATTAGGGTTAGGGTTGTGCATGAGGGCAGGGTTAGGGTTAGAAAAATGAGGTGTCCTGGCATGGTTTTGATGGTTGGAATGTGTTTGAATGGGCAGAGATGATGAGATGTGGAGAAAAAGCTACTCAAGGTAGGCTTTTTCAAAATTGCCCCTTTCAATGGTATTTTACCCCTATATTAGGGTTGTTGTTGTTGTTGTTGTTGTTGTTGTTGTTGTTATTAGAACATTTCTATGTTATGGGTGTGCACCAGAGTAGGGTTAGGCCAGTGATGGCGAACCTATGGCATGTGTGCCACTGTGGTCACGCAGAGCTCTCTCTGTCAGCATGCGAGCCAAGTCACCCCAGCATCGCCCCAGCATACGAGCAGTGGATGACAATGCACACAGGGGCCATGCGCATGCTTGGAAAGGAGAAGCAGTGCCAGGCAATGATGTCATGAGCCACTACTCGCCCAAGCTTTCGCATGACCGGTCAGTGTGCTGCCAAGGTTATATATATATTTGCTTGGACTGGCTATGAGTTGTTTCTTCTAAACTACAACCTCAGTTTTCAGGTTTTATTGTAGTATTGGCACTTTGCGATAAATAAGTGGGTTTTGGGTTCCAGTTTGGGCACTTGGTCTCGAAAAGGTTGGTTGTAGATGAGACATCACTGAAAAAAAATCCGCACTCCTCCACTTTCAAAGTCATTCCCAGGGTAGCAGTGGCACTGCTTTGTCCAGGGCCCATTGCAACATTTTCCAGTTCAGAAATACCCCTCACCTGCCACTGAGTGATTTTTGTTTGGCATGGTGATAGTTCATATGAATGCTCTGACACATCTTGGATGGGAGCCACAATCCATATGTCCAGACTTGTCCCATAGAATAAGAGTATTTCTGGAAAGGTGTGGAGAATTGCAATCCTATCACTTTCCTAGCTCTGTTCATATGTATGTTGAGCTCCATACAGTTATTCTGTGCCTAGAAGGGTTAGTGGGATTGTGTCACATAGTTTGGCAGTGTGGATGTGAAAAGGGAACCTATTTGTTTGCAGCGGTACATGTAGAAGTGCTCAAACCACCAAAATTCCTTTGTGATCCAGAGGTCCCCAGTAACATGAGCACATACATGTTTAAATTCCCTTTTGCAGAAGTTCTGAACATATGAATGTTGGCATATGAGTCTTGAAGGCCATGTATGCTGGGCGCAGGGTTCCCCTTCCTTGTATAAAGCAAATGTATAGAGCAGGGGTCAGCAACCCATGGCTCCAGAGCCGCACGTGGCTCTTGAACCCCTCTGCTGCAGCTCCGTCGCTCAAAACACGCGCCGGCACAGCCACTGATCTGCTTGAAGCTCCACTCAGGAACACAGTGCTAGCTAGTTAAGTAAATCAGCTAGTTAAGTAAATCGCTACCTTCCTCTGCTAAACAAACTTCCTGCAGGCGCTCATGTTATAGGAAACGCTGCTGAAAAGATTCTCTTTGTCCCAATGTAATCTCCTTCATCTGAATCTTAAAAGCTGCGCTTGGGACCTGTCATAATTCACAGCACTTGATAGTTTACAGTATCTGCTAATCAGTCACTAAGCACACCTATATCTGCGGACCCGCGTCAATTTACTGAGCTCCTCCCCCCCCCCCCATAGGCCAACCATGGATAAATTGAAGAAAAGTTTCTGAAGAAAATCAAATGTTTAATGATACGTGGGTAGATTCATTTGCTTTTACTGCTGACGAACTTATGGGGTTTGCTGTTTAATGCATGCAGCCCTTTAGCACTGACTTTGACTCTTCAGGAAGCTGTTCTCCTATTCAAAATATATGAAAGGAGTCCTACTAGTTTATAATGTAAGATTAAACATAACAGTTTTTAGTGACTGAACAAGAGCTGCAGCTAAATCATAATGAAGATATGCATAGCATTAAGATAAAAAACGATATATGCAGTGTTTCCTTCATTTTAGATGTCAAAAGGGTTTTGCAGCTCCCGGTATTTTCTTTTGTGTGGGAAATGAGTCTAAATGGCTCTTTGAGTGTTAAAGGTTGCCGACCCCTGGTATAGAGGGCAATGAGCAAATAGGAGTTCTGTGACAAATAAGAGTATCTCCAATGAACTTTTCACTACATCAAGCAAAAGTTGCTAAATGGTGGCTTAATTACCTGAGGCATTGCTTCTGCTGTTTATCTGAATCCAGCCTTGGATTGAAAATCCTGAACTCCTTCCCTTTTTTGCCTTTCCAGGTTTGTAACGCCTGATCAGAAATACGTCACAGACAACACGCCACATACACCCACACCTTTCAAGGATGCTCTGGAGAAATATGGACCCATTAAGCCTTTGGTATGTATGAGCTAAATTAGGATTCTTTCTTATGTCTTTCTTAAGTTATTGCACGTCCAGTGCTGTGATCTGCTAGGACACCTCAAGGGGATGGACCCAGCCAAGATCCAAAACTTTAGCAAAAAGCCTATATCTTTGCATGACTCCAATGACCTGATGCTTTCCATAAAAACTAAAGAAGCTTGAGGGCCTTGGGGTATATTAATTCTAATATAAACATCAGTTGTAATGGTGGCTTTTTGCTGCTTTTCATAAAGTTCTTTAAAAATAAATACTTAAAAACAGATCCCAAATAGCATACAGCTTAGAGAATCATCCTGTGGCTGCTAGACTCTAGTGGATTTGGATTCCAGGGTTCAACACAGGAGCAGAATACCACTGAGCTGCCAATGCATAATTTTGATTCCATTCTGCTACTGGCCACTTACTGCTTTGTTTTCCTTCTTCCCTACATCATGGAAGCCACAGACACCTAATCTGGAGGAGGATTTAAAAGAGGTACTGTGGAGTGAGACTGGTATTGAGCTGATCATAGAAGATGATGTGAAGCCAGAGAAACAGAAGAGAAAGCAGGGTGTAAGTAACTCTTTTGGACAGGAATGGGTGAATTTAATTCAGATGACCATCAGGTATACTACTGCAGGCAAGAATCCCTCAGAAGAAATGGAGTAGCCTTCATAGTCAATAAAAGAGTAGGAAAAGCAGTACTGGGATACAATCTCCAAAATGACAGAAAGATCTCAGTTCGAATCCAAGGAAAACCATTCAACATCACAATAGTCCAAGTCTATGCCCCAACCACTGGTGCTGAAGAGGCTGAAGTTGACCAGTTCTATGAAGGCCTACAGCACCTTCTAGAATTAACTCCAAAAATGATGTCCTTATCATCATAGGGGATTGGAATGCTAAAGTAGGAAGCCAAAAGATAACTGGAATAACAGGCAAGTTTGGCCTTGGAGTACAAAACGAAGCAGGGCACAGGCTGGTAGAGTTTTGTCAAGAGAATACGATGGCCATAGCAAACAGTCTTTTCCAACAACCCAAGAGACGGCTCTACTCATGGACATCACCAGACGGTCAACACAGAAATCAGATTGACTATGTGCTCTGCAACCAAAGATGGAGAAGTTCTATACAGTCAGTAAAAACTAGACCAGGAGCTGACTGTGGCTCAGATCATGAGCTTCTGGTTGCAAAATTTAGGCTTAAGTTGAAGAAAGTAGGGAAAAGCACTAGGCCACTTAGGTATGACCTAAATCATATCCCTGATGAATATACAGTAGAGGTGACAAATAGATTTAAGGAATTAGATCTGATAGACAGAGTGCCTGAAGAACTATGGACGGAGGTTCGCAACATTGTACAAAAGGCAGCAGCTAAAACCATCCCAAAGAAAAAGAAATGCAAGAAAGCAAAATGGCTGTCTGAGGAAGCTTTACAAGTAGCTGAGGAAAGAAGGAAAGTGAAAGCCAAGGGAGAAAGAGAAAGTTACAAACAATTGAATGCAGAATTCCAGAGAACAGCTAGAAGAGATAAGAATGCCTTCTTAAATGAACAGTGCCAAGAAATAGAAGAAAACAATAGAATAGGGAGGACCAGAGATCTCTTCAAGAAAATTGGAGATATGAAGGGAACATTTCATGCAAAGATGGGCATGATAAAGGACCAAAATGGCAGGGACCTAACAGAGGCAGAAGAGATTAAGAAGAGGTGGCAAGATTACACAGAAGAACTATACAAGAAAGAGCTTATGTCCCTGATAACTATGATGGGGTGGTCACTGACCTCGAGCCAGTCATCCTGGAATGTGAAGTCAAATGGGCCTTAGGAAGTCTGAGCAACAACAAAGCTAGTGGAGGCGACAGTATTCCAGTTGAGCTATTCAAAATCCTAAAAGATGATGCAGTAAAAGTGCTACACTCAATATGCCAGCAAATTTGGAAAACTCAACAGTGGCCACAGGATTGAAAAAGGTCAGTTTTCATTCCGATCCCAAAGAATGGCAATGCCAAAGAATGTTCAAACTACCACGCCATTGCACTCATTTCACATGCTAGCAAAGTTATGCTCAAAATCCTACAAGCAAGGCTCCAGCAGTATGTGGACCGAGAACTACCAGAAGTACAGGCAGGATTTTGAAGAGGGAGAGGAACTAGAGATCAAATTGCCAACATACGCTGGATCATGGAGAAAGCTAGGGAGTTCCAGAAAAACATCTACTTCTGCTTCATTGACTATGCTAAAGCCTTTGATTGTGTGGATCACAACAAATTGTGCCAAGTTCTTAAAGAGATGGGAGTACCAGACCATCATATTTGTCTCGTGAGAAACCTGTATGTGGGTCAAGAAGCAACAGTGAGAACAGGACACGGAACCACTGATTGGTTCAAAATTGAGAAAGGAGTTCAGCAAGACTGTATACTGTCACCCTGCCTATTTAACTTATATGCAGAGCACATCATGAGAAAGGCGGGGCTAGATGAATCACCAGTTGGAATTAAAGATCGCTGGGAGAAATATCAACAACCTCAGATATGCAGATGATACCACTCTCATGGCAGAAAGTGAAGAGGAACTAAAGAGCCTCTTGATGTGGGTGAAGGAGGAGAGTGCAAAAGTTGGCATGAAACTCAACATTAAGAAAACTAAGATCATGGTATCCGGTCCTCTCACTTCCTGGCAAATAGATGGGGAAGAAATGGAGGTAGTGACAGATTTTATTTTCCTGGGCTCCAAGATCACCGCAGAGGGGGACTGCAGCCAAGAAATTAAAAGACACTTGCTCCTGGGGAGGAAAGCTATGGCAAATCTAGACAGCATACTAAAAAGCAGAGATATCACCCTGCCAACAAAAGTGCATATAGTCAAGGCTATGGTTTTCCCAGTTGCAATATATGGCTGTGAAAGCTGGACCATAAGGAAGGCTGAGTGCCGAAGGATTGAGGCCTTTGAATTGTGGTACTGGAGAAGACTCCTGCGAGTCCCTTGGACTGCAAGGCGATCAAACTAGTCAGTCCTAGAGATCAACCCTGACTGCTCTTTAGAAGGCCAGATACTGAAGATGAAACTCAAATACTTTGGCCACCTAATGAGAAGGAAGGACTCCCTGGAGAAGAGCCTAATGCTGGGAACAATAGATGGCAAAAGAAGGGGACGGCAGAGGATGAGGTGGCTAGATGGAGTCACTGAAGCAGTTGGTGTGAGCTTGGGCGGACTCCGGGAGATGGTGGAGGACAGGAAGGCCTGGAGGAATGTTGTCCACGGGATTGCGATGGGTCGGACACAACTTTGCGACTAACAACAACAAAGTAACTCTTTTAGCATTTCTATTATGTGCCTTGTTAAAATCATCCTTGTAACTCATGAAATATGGAAAGTCAGGGCAAGCTGTTACTGGGTGGAAGACCATTTAGCTGCAGTGGGGATTTGATGTATTCTGAGTGGTGTTCTTTCTGTAATAGGGACAATTTTAAAACACACTGTGCAACCCAAACCAATTTTCCTCTTGAAACAAATGGCTTTTGGTGTGAAATTAATTTCATAGAATCATAGAACAGTAGAGTTGGAAGGCTTCATGACATCCATTGTGTCCAACTCCCTGCTGTTGCAGGAGACCACGTTACACCATCCTACTCAGATGGCTGTCCAGTTTCTCCTTGAATGTCTCTAGCATGGGAGAGCCTATGACCTCACTAGGCAGCTGGTTCCACTGTCATATTGCTCTGACAGTGAGGACGCTTTTCCTGATAGCTAGCTTGAATCTGGGTTGTTGCAGCTTGAATTGATTATTCCATGTCCTTCACTCCGGCATCAGTGCCGAGATCTTGACCTTCCTCTTTGTGACAGCTTTTGAGGTACTTATACTGGGATGTTATGTCCCCCCACCTGCCAGTCTTCTCTTAAGGATGAACATGCCCAGTTCTCTCAGTTTCTCCTCATAGGGCAGTGTTTCCAAGCCCTGAATCATTTTTGTTGCCCTCGTCTGGACCCTTTCTAATTTTTTTGCATCTTTCTTAAATCTTGGTGCCTAGAACTGGACACAGTATTCCACATGAGGTCTGACTGGTGAGGACTATAGGGGAACTACTGTTTCTCATCATTTAGAAGTAATGCTTCCATTAACGTATCCCAAAATAACATTTGCCCTTTTGGCAGCTGCATTCAGAGCATGAATTCAGTATCTACTAACATGGCTTTCAAACTCTGCTTTCAGTGAGCCCTTTCCATGATGTCACACCTACAGAAGCCTAGTATGTTGTATAGTATGGGTAGGGGATCATTTTCCTGTCTCTGGATGCATTCCCCTTGGGGTAATCTGTCAAGGGCCACATGCTGGTGATAGTGGGAACAGCCCTTTTCTCTTTCTGCCCTCCTGCCACTTTTCTCAGAGGAATCAAATTGCTCTTTCCAGAGTTCTGAACTGTGACTCTTGCAAAAGGGCTTTGAAATCAAGGCAAGGGTGGAGAGTTGCCACTCCTGTTGTAAAGGATCCTGGAGTGTGATGAGGGTAGGGATATGCAGAGGGGTAGATTGGGATTCACTGATAAGATCTCTGGGTGGTTTTCAGTAGAACAACAAAGGGTTCCAACTCCCAATTGCATAAGAGAAGCAGGAACAAATCCCCCCCACCATAAAATTAGAATTAGAATCCTTGATTTGTAGCACGTTGGGTATAGATTTGTGCTTGCATATGCAGGTCATTTTGGTGTAAGCCGATGGGGTGCTGCAGGGAATTGACTCTGCTCATTGAGACACTCTTCTGCATTTGGCTGTACCCTTGCCACTCTGACCATTTGCATGTGCTCCTGAGTGGTTGATGGGCTACAGGGCTTTGGTTAAAAAGGCTTTACAAGCTGGGGAGTTGCCCACAGCTCTTGGGACAGTGAAGAGGACTTCCAGGCTAGCATTCCCTTGCAGCTGAACTTACGGGAAGATTGGCAGGGATGGGTGCCTGTCCTGAGGAATTCTAGGATTCCCTGGAAGATAGTTTGGGAACCATGCCCAAAAGTGCTTTCTAGAAGTGTTGACAAAAAGCATTCTGTGGCATCTTTTAAAAGCTAGCAGATTTATTGTGGCACAAGCTGTCCTGGACTAGAGCCCAATTCATCTGATTTCTAGCTACAAAAGCATATGCCAAATAAATCTGTCCATCTTTATGGTGCCATGATACACTCTTTAGCGCTGGAAGTAAAAGACTTGGCTTGTTTGCATTGCTGTCTCCACAGCAAAACTAGCCTGCAAATGAAATTCTTTGGAAGATATAGCAAAATGACTGGGAGAGAAACAGAAATCGGGAAGTGAACCACAATTTATTTGCTCACATGTTAGTCACAAACCCTGGTTGACACAAGCTATGACTTAATGTCATGTGTGAACACAACCAGTTTGTCTCACATTTTAAAATAAGTATGAGATGCACCTTACCTCCAAATCTTCACCTTTGGCTTTTACTGCTTGTTAGAACCTAAATCTTCTTCTTCTCTTGCCTTTCCAGCTGCACAGGAGTCCCATTAAGAAGGTCAGGAAATCTCTTGCCTTAGATATTGTGGATGAAGACTTAAAGCTGACAGTTTCCACCATGGCCAAACCTGTCTGCTTCAAAAGAATGCAGGTGAGCCTTGATTGGCTGGAGAGTTTAAGCAACTGAATGGGTATGCTGGGGATATTAAGTTCATATACCTATATGATGAATGTTCTTATTCTGGTTTCCCTTAAAAGGGTTTGTGGGCTGCATTCTTCAGGATTACCTCCCCCGCCTTTTTTTTTCTTTCTGTGAAAGCAGCAAATTTGGTACCTGAGAATCTCAGGGAGTTACAGTTTTTATTTTATTTTAAAAAGAAATTTCTGATCTTCATAGTTGTAAATAAAACCTTGGGTGAGACAGGATAAATTTGAGCAATCTTGCTCTGGTTTTATGGATGGGCATACCTTGGACATATTACGGGTTTGGTTCCTGACCAGTGTAATAAGTTGAATATAGCAACAACTTAGGTCACATATACGTCTAGTTATACTGTTGGCTGATGGTTTGGCGCAAGAAGCCTAACTTATGGTTTGTCTTGGTATTCAACGTACTTAATCATTTTTTGTACTTAATCATGTTTTGCTTCCTCTCATTTGAACACCATTGTAGGGCTGTTACAGTAATTGGCCTAATTTGCATATGTATTGTTGTGTCTCAGGGAATAGGGAGGCCAAAGGGGAGGGGAGAGGAGGGAGAGACACTGCAGTCAAAACACCCCAAAACGATCACAGAGATCACAGCTAACGAATATACAGTACAATAATGAAAACTTTGAAATACAGTACAGAATTGCTAGAATCACATTACCAAAATGTGAGACAGACACAAAATGGACAATCTCTGTTGGGAAAAATGGCACTGATAGATGTGTGTGCTTGATGCAGGTTTGCATCTGGGAAGCTCGATACTGTAAGGTGCAATAAAACAAGGTATGCCTGTATGTAAAATGCAGCTACAGTGGGCTGCAAATTTAAGCAAAGCAGTTGCAGTGGAGAAGGGTTGTTTAAAGTCCTCTCTAGAGCTGTTTTTCAGTTTAACCTGTCCCCCTCCATGCTCATGACTTAGTGGCACAGGCCATGCTTTGCATGTACTAGGTGGTAACTAACCAGGCCGAGGGAAACCCCTGCTAGAGACTTTTGAGAACTGCTTTGCCTCGCAGTAGGAGGTTCTGGGCTCTAAAGGCTGAGAAACAGTGTCACATGCTGTTGCGCCACCCTTCCTTTGCAGCACTGTTTTGTTGAGGTGGTTATAGGACAGGACTGGGACTTGGGGGACACAGGCCCTATACCCCACTCAGCGACTTTGGGCTAGTCACTGACAGTCAGCCTGGCCCACCTCATAGAATGGTTGTAAGGATAAAATGGAGAGGGGAGAAGATTATATGCACTGCGTTGGGCTCTTGGAAGAACACTGGAATGTCCGTGTAACTAATCCCTTATAATAGATAAACTAATGGATGCATATTTGCACAATGCATGTAGTTTCAAAATGTTCCTGTTCCATAAAACAGACAACTGGGAATTCTTAAGATCTTGGAATTTGGGTTCTTTCCAGGATTGACAAAAAATTTCCAATTTTCCCCTCAAACGCAGTTGAATATATACCCTTCTCTTGCTTGAAGGATTTTGCTTCCTCTTTCTGTAGTTGAAGCCTTAATCTGCATGTAAGCAAAGAGAAGTAAAATTGCATTACTAGTGTTCGGAATTCAGGATCCAGGAATTGCTAATGAAATACTGCCCAGTGGCTGCTATCATTCATATGTGCCATTTTTGCACAGCATATGAAGCTATTGGTGAGACTTGATACATAATATCTGTCCATGTTAATGAATTGTCTTGGAATTATAATACAAAAGAAAACAATTCCACAAATCCCATATAGCCTTTTAAAATAATTGCTGTCTGTATTTGTGCCTAATTAGTTCTTATGCAATAATTGATGCCTGACTTGTTAAGATGCAGTTTTGCAGTTGGGAGGCAGTGGCTTACTGTCTAACATGGTGTAACATAGCTGGCCTTTAGAATTGCAACAGGGCTGCATTTGGCCAATGTTGCTTTTAGCCTGTAAATGAGAAGTTCCAACAAAAGTATGATAATTTGCTGGGTGTTCTCTATGTCTGGGTTGATCACAGGTAGAGTAAACAGAAGGACAGCTGTAAACACAAAATAGAATTAAAATTCCAAGCCTAAAAATGGTATGGGAAAAATATGTGGAACTTTAGCAAAGTAGAAAAATACCCAACATTTTCTAGTGCAAATCTTTCTCAGGGGCATACTAATTAAAAAACAAGCAAAATTTATGCTTCTCTTGATCAGGAGCTATATGACCAGTATGTGGTTCCAATTCACTGGGGTAAATGTGAATCCCATTAGCACCTGCAGTCAGTGTTATGGATCTCTTATGTGCCCCTGCCAAGCTTTGGACAAAAGTTGTCCTGTGAACTGCAAGATTGTGTACCTTGTAATTTACTTAGGGAAAAACTCCACTGAATTTATATCTGACCATATGCACATAGGATTGGATTTGAAACATCTTAGTATTTTTCTGCTTAGTAGATAGAATGTGGTGGTAGAATTCTGGACTGTGCTACTTCAGAGCACAGGTGAGAAGTTACATATTTGAAAAAAGTACTTTATATAGTTTTTTAGATGAGTAAGTGAAAGATAATGGATATTTTTCCCTACAGTGCAAGCTTACTACCTGCAGGGAGTTTCAATTTGTTCTGCCTTCTACAGTCTGAAGTGCTGTATTCCAGAATACTGCTACCTTAATCTATCTCTCATTCTACATAATATAAAGAATGGCTCGTTGCTGTTATAAGTCACAGTTTTCACAGTCCAACTTATTAATGAGCTTAGTGTGTGAACTTGGATGACCATCTATGATTCATTCACTGTTAGCTAATATTAATTATCTGGTCCAGAATTTTTACATAGACTCTTGAGATTAGTCCATGTAACTTATTCCCTTTTTCCTGATCCAGGGGAAATAGGGTAAACTTGATATCTCAGAGGTTGTAAGAAAGAAACAACTTTTTATGGTTCTCTGCTTTCAGGGATTCCTTTGAAAGGAGAACTGAGACTCATCAAAAATCACACTTGGGGCCACAGATGTGGGTGCTTGATGGTATGGGGGGGGCGGGTAGGGGAATCTGGTCTGCTAGTTTGTACCTCCAAAAGATGGGTTGAAATAGAGATGCACAGTCCCACACTTAAAACATAACATGTTGCAATCCATGAAATTGGCCTGAGCTTTCCTCCCGTACTTAAAATGTAGTGTGGGAAGAGTACATGAGAGTCCACATTGCTCTACCATGCCTGAGAACTAGGCCCAAGTTCACCACAAATTGACAGAATTTTCCTAAGATGTCCAGCCTAAGCTGTCCCTTCCAAGTATTTCTCCACAGCCATTTTGACTAGAAAATGGTATTTGTAAAAAATTTCCTGAGATGGCTTCTATGTCTGAAGGCCATTTTTGGATTCTGTGCATAGCAGGCAACATTCTCTCTTCTTTGAATCATGGAATAAGGTTGGCAACTCCAGTTATTCTGGCCTACAACTCCCATCAGTCCTAGCCAGCATAGCTAATGGTGAAAAATTATGGGAGTTGTCAGCTGAAACCTCTGGAGAGCCAGAAGTTACCCAACTCTGCTGCAAATTTACTAGAGAAAGAAGTTGTTGTTTATGACCATTTGTCCAGTGATCAGGACAATAACCCTGATGCCGTAATCCATCAGCCATGTTGCCTAACGTGACACTGACTTTGGAGGATTGCCACAAGCGTGATCTTTTCCATTACTACACAGCACTGAAATTGTGGGGCTTTGCTGGCAATGACAATGCAAAGCAGTGGAGTGGATGGATAAGAATATAAAGGCTCATTCTGATCACTGAATAACTTACACATGAGGACTTCTTTCTGCCTTGAGAGTATACACAGTCTCTAAAAGATAAACCTGTGATGATGACAATAAAGGCTTGCTTTATGGCTAGCATGTGTTCTCTCTCCCTTTCCCCCTCCCCCTCCCCCCAAATAGGAAGGCTGGAGGTAAATCAGGCAAATTAATCCGAGTTATACCTGAGTTGTAACCATCACTTTTCTCTCTGGTTGATTGCAGCCTATGAACTTCCTTTCGCAGTCCCTAAACCTTTCTTTGTCAAGCAGCAAGAATGACAACAGCTTGCTCAACAGAGGATTTGTGCAGATGAAGGCAGAGAAGGTCTCTTCTAGGAAAATTCAAAGCAAATACAGGCCACCTGCTCTCGTAAGCATTGTCTTTTATGGTAACTTCCTGGATGCTACAGTTCTGGGGTTTTGATATTAAAATCTGCCATGTCTAGGTTTGTGAATGTAGTGCCTTAGTCAAGAACTAGCACTATTGATACAAATTGTCACAGAACTATCTTCTGAGTTTGTGAATAGGTTGTGACAGTTAACCTTGTCATCTTTCTTGTTATTTAGAGTATGATCAGCCATTCTTTCCCAGGTAGCTCGATGAACAATATTTGCCCAATAGAATATTTGCCAGTAGCCAATAAATCTACTGCAAAGAATCTGTATTTCTCACTATTTTTTCTCCCAACCACTGCTATACATGGTCTTTCTGAGACTGTTTAATGACAACACCCATCATCTTATATCTACACAATTAGATGTGGCCAGTTGCTATAGGAACATGTGTTTAAACAGCCATCTTTCATTATCAGTTATTTGCTAGTGACATGGGCCATTGCAAAAATAAGTAGAGTAAAGGTTTTGGCTTGCAATTTGGCAGACAGTGTATCATATACTAGCTCACTTCTAAAGTTTACAAAGTAAATGAAATAATAACATCAGCAGATAGGCTGACTATACCCTTACCAGATTTTAGGCCAAGCATCTCTTTAATCTAGTGAGCTACCCACTGAAGGGCAGGGGGGGTGGGGGTCACCAATCTCAATCAAAGTAATGGTATTTCACAGAATCCCATCTAGATATTTCCACCCTATAATCGTTGACTTGTGGGTTTTCGGGAACATTTTGAGTTTGAATGACCACATTCCCTGGTTGCATATTTATACTGGCAGCTCGCATGCACTACAGCTGTTGCATAGCGCCCGCTGGATTCCCTGGACTGTGAACATTGAAAAAAACAGTCCAAGGCATTCAGGAATGGCTACAGAGGGATGAGTCACTGGGGTTTATTGCAGATGACCACCATCAGATACAGTCATGGCTGTTAGGCGACTAACTCTGATTCTTGTTCTATTGGTCTTAGTTTTTCCAGCCTGTAATCTTTCTTACTTGGAGAAAGCTGCTTTTACAAGAGATCAGGCTATTCATTCCTCTAGCTGAGAATTGACTAGTGACAGTTCTTCTGAAATTCAGGGCGAGATCTGTTGCTAGCAGCACTTTTATGTGGAGGTGCTGGGAATTGAACCCGAGATTTTGAATGTGCAATGCACATGCTGGACCACTGAGTTCTGGTCTTTCCTACTCCCCACTCTGCCCCATGCAGGCCACTTGGATATCCTCCACACTGGCTTGCTTTTCCTTATGACTAGCTGATTCTGAATCTGTAACTGGAGAGGAAAACTTTTCCGTTGCTGAAGAATGCATGCAGGCTGCCAACCTCAGAATGAGCTTTGCATACTTCAGAATGTTGGTTTATTCTCTTTCAGGCAGAGTATGCAGTCACACAGTGGCAAAGAGCTCACCTTGTAGGGAAAGCAGCTTGGGACAGGACCATGATTGTCTAATCTAAAATTGTGCATGGCGTGACAGTTGAGTTGGGTGAAGTGAACTGGAAAATGCATTGGTTGTGTTGCTGCACCTCTGCACATAATTTGGGTTTCCAGTGTGGAATGGCTGTACCATTAAGTGCCTTTTAAATGTTCACAAAACTTAGTAGCGCATCCATCCATCATTGCTTTAACTCACTGGTAATGCATCAACAACCTGTTGTTTTTTGGAAGGAGGGGCATGATTCATTCCTACTTGCATACAGATGCTTCTTCACTAGTGCACCTGAAGCCAAGTTCGACTTGCCCAAGGTTGAGAGGCTATTTGTACCTCTGCCCCAAGAAGCTTTCCCTCAGCTTCCTACATGTCAGGAGTGCTATTAAAATGTGTGTTTGCTTTTTCCCTCTCTCTCAGATGTCCAGTGCCTGGAAAACAGTGGCATGTGGTGGATCTAAAGATCAGCTTATCATGCAAGACAAAGCACGGCAGGTCTTGGGCGTGTTGAAACAGAACCATACCTCACGGACTTTAATTTTATCTTGAAGAACTCTTCATTTTGTAGCTTTATTTGGAAGTGGGGAGGGGAAGAAGGCAAGGCCTAAGGCTGTTCTCTTCAGCAGGACAATATGGTCGCCTTTCTCCCTCCTGGTAACCCTGGATCTCTGTAATACGTGTCTTTCATAAATAGTTCTAAACTTCAGGTTCTCAAATGGCATCGAAATGTTTTATTATAGTAGTATAAATCGTCAGACATTTGGAGGAAAATGCCCTGAGTTGTTAGAACACACCAGTTCTCCTGCACATGCCTTCCCTTCTTTGTCATTTCCTAGGCAGAATTGTCCTTGCTTCTTTCTGATTGATCTGCAAGAGGGAAGAGAGGGGCGAATCCATTTATGGTGAAGAGAACACCTTGGATTTCTGGATTTGGTTTTACTTTGGGAACCTTAAGTGTAATTATGAAAAGTCCCTGCCGATTTACCCTGGCTCGTTTTGGAGACTGACTGATTGGCAGTGGATTAGAACAGAAAGAACAATATGTGTTACCAGTTGGAAGTATCAGCAATCTTTTTATTAGATTGAATTAACTATAGGAAGCAAGATGTGGTCTTTTTTCATCAAAACATCTCCAAAGCATTCAGTCTGAAATAATAAAATTACTGCCTTAATTTAGATGTGGTATCCACTGCTAGGTTTATATATTGTGGTTTGCTTTGGGTGTTTTATATTTTCAGGTCCACCAGATGGTGCTGATGCCCATCCTTAGCAAACTTGATGATATTTAAGGAGCAAGCAAGTTTGCTTTAAGCAAAGCAGTCTGTGCATTGCTGGGAGCATTATTGTTTGTTATTGCTTCATCTCTGCTATGGTAGGTAGAAGGAGACTTAGGTTACAAAACTGTGCATGTCTGGATAGAAAAAAGTCCTTCAGCTCTGAGCATGGCTAGCTGGGGAATGCTGGAAAGTTGGACTTCTATTTGTCTAACTATGCACAGAATCGGGCCCTTAGTGCATGTGGGCGTGAAATGTACCCAGTGGAAAAGCAAGCCTTGAGCAAGATCATCTTGCTGTGTGCACTGCAGCCTTGTTAAGAACAGGTTTTTAAGGTTCATTTTGTAGCCCTTCCTTGACCATGTCTGGCGTGAGGTAGACAAGGCCTGAGAACAGCGGAGTTCTCCATTTTATACTGCCACTGTGCTTTATCATCTGTGCCTTGATATTGATCTGAGGGTCTATCATGGGTTGTTTGTCAAATTGGTCACGCAGAATGAGTCACTGTGAAGATAACATTGACCAACTGCCATGCTGCATAACCTTCCACTGTATTCTGATGGCCACTTCACATTCACATGTACCTGACAAACATGTTTACAAATGGCTGCATAATACGGGCACACAATGAGCAGAGAGTCCGCTCCGCTGAGTATCCAGGTTGTTCTCTGCCTAATGAGTGAATTTACCTGAGAGTCAAGGTGAAATTAGCCTGGGAGCCACTGTTCCCCACCCCAGGGCTAGAGGATTGGCTCTAGATTTAGGAAACTAGAGTTTAAAGCCCCACTCAGATGTGCTTTATTTATGAATAATTCTTGGTATACTGCTTAATATACTGAAACCTCTACGTGGTTTAAATGCAAGAGTGTATGAGCATTTATGTGTATAGTCCTGCACACTAAGATGTAATGTTTGTGCTTTAGGCAGCATGCTTTGTCGCAGGAGATTCCAGATTTGGCCAAGGCAGAATCTGTGGTCCTCTGCATGTTGTCAGGACTACAACTCCTATCAGACCAGGCAATGCAGTCAATGGTGAATCTGAATTGTAGGCTGGAATGCTCTCCATCCTTCTATAAAGCTCACTAGATGGTTTTGTATGTCATCAACTCTCAGTCCAACAGCCCCGTCCTAGCTTAGAGGCTTGTGAGGTCAGGCAGGTAGCTCTGAAAGAAAGGGAGTGCAACAAATGTAAGGTTAGAGATGCTACAGAGGGAGATGTTACGGATTGGATGTAAATACCAGTTTAGGGACAACTGCTGAGGTTTTCTTGGTAAAATTGGATTATTTTGCTGCTAGTGCTGCTGACTCTTAATATGAGAGGACATATACTTTCTTCACTATAACTCTAAACTACTTATTATTCATTGTGGAACCTGGTGCTGATTTGATTTGGAGTTTGTGCTAAATTAAAAGATTATGATGGAAATATTAAAATCTATTTCTAATCCCATAAATCTGATTCTGCAGGCATGTCTTGCCATATGTTTATTGCTTATTAAGGAAGATCTGGTGTTGAGCAAATTTCAGGGGAAATGAACAAGAGAGCCTGGCTAATGACAAAGACAATTAACTTTTAAGTGGAAAGCAAAGACGTTTCCTGTCTGACAGACAGGCCTGGCTGTGTTATCCCTGAGCTCACACCTGTAGAATAGGTTATATCTTTCTGAGCCTGGGTACTTAATTGCTGCAAAAGATGATGTGAGGGAGTTGCTAGGAAATGAAATATGCATTTGGTTGAATATTAGCAAAAGCACTAAGGCAAATGCAAGCAATGGTAGAATGAGTGTACATGGGGGTCAGATAAATCCCTGCATGCCCTCGAAGGATGCATGATGGGATCATAGCACTGAATCGATCAATCCAGCTCCTTGCTTCTGCATGTGGGGAAGGGTCCCTGTGTGTGTAGAATTCCATGCAAGGGAACGAGGGATCCTAATTGCCTGGGCTTCCTCTCACATGAAAAAGCACATACATTGATAAAAGTGTAGGGGCCTTCTTTGTGCAAGACCTCAAATTTGTGGGGTTGCTTGGCTTGAACCTGCTGCTTCTGGTGGGGTGTGAGCCGGGGTGTTCATTTGAATAGTTGTACTACAGGCTTGGTCAACCTTTCTGGGCTTTGGACACATCTGGCAATTTGATGCCCTGGACAGTACCACATGGGAGGCATGACAAAGGCCAAACACCCAAATGACAGATAGGGGTTGAGCACCAAGACATTAAACTTACTTGAACCCACAGTTTTCACTACCAACAGAAATCTATTTCATGCCAATCCTAGTTGCTGGTAAGAAAATAATGGGAGCGGTATGGGTAGGCAGCAAAGCTGTCCAAGGAATGCACTGTGGCCCATGGACACTATATTGCTTACCTCTGATCTACTTTATTCTTGTAAGCATAAGATACTGCTGACTGAATCAAATGGCCCCAAACTTCTACAATGAATTGCACTTTATTTAGAGTTATAGCCAGGACTGTACGTCCTGTGATATTTTAGGAAGGACTAAAACATGATTTCCCAGTTACAATGTACGGCTGTGAAAGTTGGACCATGAGGAAGGCTGAGCACTGAAGAATTGAGGCCTTTGAATTGTGCTGGAAAAGACTCCTGAGAATCCCTTGGATTGCAAAGAGATCAAACCAGTCAGTCCTAGAGAAGATCAACCCTGACTGCTTTTTAGAAGGCCAGATACTGAAGATGACACTGAAATACTTTGGCCACCTAATGAGAAGAAACAACTCACTGGAGAAGACCCTGATGCTCGGGACGATTGACAGCAAAATAAAAAAAGGAGATGGCAGAGATGGAGTCACTGGGGTGGTGGGTGTGGGCTTGGGTGGACTCCAAGGGATGGTGCAGTACAAGGGCCTGGAGGAATATTGTCCATGGGGTCAGGCATGACTTTGCAACTAAATAACAGCAAAAACATGATTTGGTGTGGGTACATAACATTGTCATTCTGCTATATCACAAGTTAATGGAATTGGGGGACTCATGCATTAAACAGTAAGCTGGAATATGCCAAAGCAGCCTGCAAGTTTGGGGCAGAATGGAATCTGCATAGTGAGGAACTGACATTGACCTGGTTCACACCATCACTGTTAGCTAAACAAGTCATGGTGAGTGCCATTTGCCTAATTATCTGCTTGGGCATGGCTTGTGTGTTGTCCAAACCAAGGAGGAATAGCCTAATAGCCCATGTCACCCAGGTTTGGATGACACAACACAGCCCACACTCAACCCATAACTTAGACCTTGATTGTGGGTTATTGGAACCCAGTTGTCATGTTCCCAAGACAGCTTACCAAGGTGAGATTTCTAAAGATGCCTACAGGCTTACAGTTTGAAAGACATGACACAAAGGGGCTGGTGGTAGCTTCCTAGTCAATGTTCGGCAGGTCATTGAATTAGATCTAACAGAGTAGAAGTACTGTTGCTTCCTTTTCTCCTGAGGTCCTCTGAGTGGTGATTGCGGAAAGAGTGCATGGCATGCCCAGTGATTTAAATAACCCACCTTAGATCATGCAAACTGGTGTGGTGTCTGGCTTTACCCACAATCAATTTGTGTCAGTACTATTTGAATAAAGTTACTGTAATGCCTCAGTGTGTCAGCTGCAGTTTTGCTGAAAGTAGAATTTATGCTTTGTGCGCAAGATTAATGTAGTAACTGGAAGCATTTCTAGTTTGGCTTTGCTCATGCTAATACTCTCATGCTGTATTTGCTTTTACTAGTTCATAAATGAAGTGCTGAAAAGGGGAGATTTCCATTGCTACCACAATGTAAAACTGGAAAACCAACTGATGACACAGTTCCATCACTTGCGCTACAATCTTTTCAACTGCATGCTAAAAACCTTGCTACAAATTTAAAATGCCTTCAGTAATGAAAATGACAGCAGGTCTAAGTACTGCAAAGATTTTAAAAAATATATAAAATGGTGTGTGTGTATATGCAGAGAGCATAAACACACAGATCCTATATAGAATGGTTTGTGGATTGTATTAACTAGAAAGGTTTTAATTATGTATTGCTCTGAAGGGACATGGTGACCTCAACCCGTGGTCTTGATTTTCTGTTTTCTTCTATTTATTTGGTTTGGAACTTGAAATGTTTGGCTCTTTAATTGCTAAGTCCTTGAGTAGATTTATGCATCACACATTGGCATTTTTAGGGGAACCTGAAGTTGGCCATGGTGGGAGTGGGAGGAAACATGGTTAATTTTAAAACAGATATTCCATCCTTCAGATGCCCCTGCCCCCCACAGCTTAAAACACATTAAAATAAGAACACAATGAAACAGACAGGTATCAGTCACATGGGCCAAAAAAACACCACATCTGACTAAGCTGGTGTTCATGATATTAACCAGTGGCAGGGGACTCCCAATACTTTTTGCTACCTGAGATGAAAAACAAGATGTTGTCTCTTCCCACTCCACCTGGACAAGTGGCACAGGCACTACATCCTCCACTGCACCTGAAAGCGAGGCACAGGGCAGGCCATGCATGCAGCCCTCCAGCTCTTTGCTCCTGCCTTCCAGTGTCTTCTCCTTCCAGCACCTGCTTCACACTGCTTCATGGTAGAGCTGGCTCTGAGCAGAGAGGGGTGGATTCAGAGTTAATCATTTTATTGCTCAGTATTTTCATTGCTCAGGACAGGGGTCATCTACAATGACCATTACCTTAGGCCTGGCAATGCCCCCCCCCAACTGCAGTCAGGAAAGTGGGGAGGTGGTATTGCTACATTTTTATATATCCCCTAGTTATTGGTACCATGTCCGGGGCGCACAACCTTTCTAGCCCTAAGAACTAATTGTGCTGCTGTGTTGAGGGCCACACACACATCTCCGATATCCATATCATAATCTTGGAGGAGTGAGTTAAGAGTCTTTATTTAATCATGATTGATTATGATGTTTGTATCTTGCATTTTTTCCCTTATGTAAGGAACCGAAGGCAGCTTCCATGGTCCTCTTCCTTGCCAGTTTATCCTCACAACAACCCGTGAGGTTAAGCTGAGCAACAGGGACTAGTCCAGTCATCCAGCCACGGAGTCGCAGCCTAATACTCTACCCATTCCACAGAGCTCTCCTTTGTTGGCCCAGCCTTGCTCCCTTCTTCCCAGGCATTCTGTGTGTCATATTGGCAGAAGAGCAGTGGTCTCTTAGCTCCATTTTCTCTGTTGAATTGGCATGTCGTGCGAACAGATGTGCAGCTGCTCAAATAGCTCCTCTGGTGTGTCAGTCTGTTGTTGGAGGGGTTCTTCTCATTTGGTACCATTTGCCAGTTTCCACTTTCCATGCCAGACCGCTGCTCAGGTAAGGCTGATTTCAAGTCATACATCTCTCACCTGCTCTGCTGGCTGTCCTTTCTGTGGAGTCAGCAGGACAGAATCTTCTGCTTCCATGTACCAATTAAAAATCTGTTTTGCATAACCATTGCTTTTCTTGTCAAATTACACATGCCATTTTTTAAAATTCTTGTATGAATACAACATTTCCCTGACTGGGTAACAAATAAGTGAATAACAGTATTATGACTTTAAACCTATAGGTTAACCTGATTTCAACACAGGTAGGCAACCTGGTGCTTTCCACAGGTTTTTGATGACAACTCCCATAATTTGTAACAATTGGCTATGCTGTCCAGGAGTTAGGGGAGTTGCAATCCAAAATATCTGGATGATGCTAGGTTCCCTGTTCTTGGTTTAACAAATGTGGCTCATGTCACCATTGGACCATGTTAATGTTATCAGTCTGGCTTCTTGACCTTCCACAACTGGGTTATAACCAAGGAGTTCTAAGCATTATTTGGAGGTTTCCAACGTCATCAAAATGCCTTTGATAGACATTCATGGAATGTGTCAAGAAATATTCCCTTGAATTTTTTTCCAGAGGGAGTACTTTTAAAAAGGAGGGAAACTTCCATTGATGTCAATGAAGACACCTTTTCTTTTTAAAATCCATGTAGAGTGGATATTTTTTCATTTGTTTTGGCATGGGAGGGGAACAATTGTGTCTGTAAGCATAATCCTTTCCTCACAATGTGCAGTGAATTGGGGCAATGCAGGTTTATTCCCAAGACATGTTGAGACCAAACTGTTATCTATTGAAATCACACTTATCTCCCAGGCACAAATAATTTTAAATATGACTACTCCCCCAAGAAACTGTAGTTTTAGAAGTCTAATGGAGAGCCTTTGACCATTTTCACAAATGTTAATTCAAAGAGGTTCCTGCAGTTCTTCCATTGGTAAATCAAGTACAAAAAGCTATGGTGACTGGAACAGAGTGGAATTTCAAAATGGTTTTCTTCCGCTGATTTTGTATGTCAAGATGTGCAAGCTGTTCATGCCAGAGCAGAAAGCATTTGTGTAGCACAATCCTATCCCTGTTTACTCAACACTGCTTTCAGCAGGCCTTAAAACCATCTAAACAATGGTTTTCAGAAAGATGGGTTATAAAGATTAGTTTTAATAAACTGTCACTTACCGTCTTATTTCAACACTTACTATCCAACTTTATTGGTAGTAAAGGCATGTAAAAATGGTGAGAACGTTAAAAAGAACAAAAGTAGTATTACTTAGGGGAAGCATAACCCTGATCTTCTACAGTACAGTACAGTGCAGTTATTCCAGTTACAACTAGGCATTTGAGAAATAAGAACACACTGCTCTTTCCAGTTTAACATGCTTGCACCTCATAAACATGGTATACAGTCAACGTGCACTGGTAATCCTCTCCTCTCTGGCCTTTGTTCAGTAAGTCCCTTCCATCTACAGTAATAGCATTCTGACATGACTCTTCTTTCTCTCATTCCTTCTAATAGCAAATTCAGGAAGTGTGTGCTGATGAGATTAAAGCCATTGAAAAAGGGAGAGGGAGACAGTGGCAGGTTTGAAGACTCATGAGTTTGCTGAGTTAGAAGACAATTAAACTTGCATGGGGAAACCCCTACAAGTAGCCCGATGAAGACTGAATATTCTCAGTGAGCACAGAATGCTAAGCATCTGTTCAGAGGGTGGGTTGGTCAGGGAAAGGGAAACTAAATGGAGCTTCTTGGTAAAGGAATCATCAAAAGAAGAACCCACAAAAGCTCATGTTGCAGTAAATACATTAATCTTTAGATTCCTACGGGAGTCTTGTTTCTGCTAACATGGCTGCTCTGCTGGAATATATACATACTATCTACAGAGATCTGTGATAATGTTTCTGATTTAATTGGTTGAGTTTTTCTACAGTCAAAGAGGCACACGGGAAGTAGAGCACATTTTGAATGCCATGGGCCAAATTGCTCAGAAAGCAGAGAAACATAGGACTTAAACATGCAGAGAAGGAAAAAAGCAGAAGTTCACTTACTACATTTGCAATAACCTGCCAACTCCTTGGAGGCAGGGTTCCAGTCTCTTTAAATATATAAAAACAGAAAAACCTCAGTTATTAGATTCCTAAACTGATCACATGCTTAGTTGAGGCTGTGACAGCCACATGACTGTGAAAAGAATGAAGGACGGCACTGACTGTTAGTGCTTATAAATATAAGAAAAGGGGTTCTCAGAAAAATCTAGAACTGGTGAGGTCAGTTGTCTATCGAAACTACTTTTGTTACCAGGAGAACGAGGTCTCTGCTGTCAGAACCTTTTCAAACTCTGGGCCCAATAGTGATGACAATATGCAGTTAGAGCCAACTATTACCCATTCATACTTTCCTCTGGCTACTAACATGTTCAGGGTTTGCTTGGCTGAGAGGCTCCATAATGGTTCTTGCAGAAACTTTATGCGTATTGAAACTAGTAAGGTTTCATAGGTACATACCCCATTTAAACCAGGGAAATAGAGAACCAGAACAATAAAGAAGCACATTCTCTGTGAACAAACAAAACCAGACCCGAGTTTGGAACTTCTTAGTTTAGCACCAAAAAACCCACAAACTTGCCCTAAATTTTTACCTAGTCTTACCCTAGGGCCTAGACATTGGCATCATTGGCTGGAGTTGACTGTAAGCATGTTTGTGAAAGCCAATATGCAGTATTTCTTCACAATACAGGAAATCAATGAAACACACCACCGAAAGATACAGAAATCAGGCCGAATTCATGGGTGTTTGGTTACTCAGTGGGTAGGGGCCCAGATAGTACAGCAATTATCAGAGCATACTCTGAGCACTGGGTCCAAGGGTTAAACAACAGGATAGTACTGCCACTCTACTAGCCGTTTTGAAAGCTGCCTAGAGCCCTCTGACTTACTTGCTGTTGCTGGAAACAAAAGGCTGAACTAAGTAGACCAAAGATAAAGTAGCAAGTTAGAATTGATGGCCTTCTGACTCTTTCCAACTCTGTTATTATATGAAACTACAACTCCCATCATCCTTCTCACTGGCCATATTGTCTGGGCCTGATGAGAGCTGGGAATTCTACAATATTTGGAAGTTCAGATTCTACATCTCTAAAACAGTCCTTCAAATGCCTGAGTTGCACAGAACTTTTATGCATGAGCAATATATTTATTCTTTGATATATTGTTATATATTATACACACACATATTTTTCTTTCTAATTCCTTGTATTATGTATTAAGTATTTTGGATATTTTGTATACTGTTTTATCATGTATTTGTATACTGCCCAGAGAGCCCTAATGAGCAATGGGGTGAGTCATAAATATAAATTGAAATGAAATTTCTCAGACCAAGAAGTTGGCTATGCTTCTTTTACTGATCTACCTGATCCCATTTCAGCTACATGAAATAACTTGAGTCTGTCAGGTCTTTCTCCAACCGATAGCTTCTCTTGCCCTGCCCCTGCCCACCCGCCCCCACCAAAATTTGGGCTTTACCCTTGCAAGAACAGCTGCTGCACCACCTTAAAACACATACTTTTTTTAAACTTGGAGGTTATTTTGATTGAATGCTGGATATGGGTTCATCCCACACATGGTCTTAGGGTAATAAGGGAGGAAAACAGTTCATTCCTGACAGTGCAGCTCACTGATTTAATAACAGAATTTTATATATCAACAAAAATATGGAGTTATCTACTTTTATCTTCTATAGAAGTTTTAGTGTATACAATGATTCATCTTCAAAACCAACAAGTGATATAGGTCATTATTATTACACCTTTGAAGACAGGGAAATTGTGGTTCCCAGGGACCCACTGAAGGCCACCCAGCAAACTGATGTCTGAGCAGGGAGTCTGAATCCATCTAATCCACACCCAAAGCCAGTATTCAGACCACACTGACAGTCTAGCCATGCCTACTTGGATGTAAGGCTTACAGAATTCAATGGGACTTACTCCCAAGTAAGCATGCACTGGATTGCAACTTAAATTGCATATCTAAGCAGCAGGGTACAGAATAAATGATAAAATAATGGAATGCCAGTGAACTGTACAGGTTATCAATCCGGGCAAAACTCCCATTTCCCTCCCTCATACAAACCCACCCAGAAACTTAAATCCTCACTACAAACCTTTTTAAAAACACTCTCTCTCTCTCTCTCTCTCTCTCACACACACACACACACACAAGATTTTTTACACACACCACCTTCCTTGCTTGTTCCTCAAAATAACCTTAAAAAAACCAACCCAGGATGAATATTCACCCCATGAGAGCAAGCAAGCAAATGTGAGGGCATTACTGTAAAACCCAATGATATTAGTCGTCTTCTGTTTTTATTTTCTTTGTCTTTGGTTGACATTCCTCAGCCTCAGAATGAGCTGGTGATGCTTGTGGTTTGAGATCCCCAGTACGATGTGCCTCCAAAGTGTTCAGGGTATTGTGCAAGCCTGCTGGTAGTGATGGGAGTGGTCCGGAGACACTTGGCGAAGAAAGGATAGGCTGCTCTTGGGATACAGTGGGCCCCAAAGGAGCTTGTGCTTTTGTGGCAAACAGCTGTGCTAGGTTTTCCAAGGCAGCTGTTTGTCTGTCCATGGCATCTGCAATCCTCCTGGTAGATGTCTCCATGAGAGTGATGAGCTTGTCCATGTTTTTTGTGGCCTGGTCTACATGACTCGCAAGGGTGGCAAACTCCTCCTTGCAGGCATAATTTTCCCGGGTCTGTGCAAGCTCAGATGTTTCTCTGTGTGTTGAATGCAAAGCAGACAGAGCATTGACTAGTCTGTCGCCCACTTGAGAGATGGCTTCCACAAGGTCTGAGGTGGCTTCCATTTGTTTCCTCTGCTTCCGGTGCCAATGGTTGCTCACTCTGTCAGAGTCAGCCAGAGGCAACCTGGGGAAGGAACTGGATGGGCCTGTGATAAAAGAAGCAATATCTTTAATAAAATGGCAGTACGGTGTAGATGGCAAGCAATAGAGCACTCCATGCCAAACAAACACTAAAAACCAGTGGTAATCTACACTTAAGACTCAATTTCAGCCAGCCAGAATTTACCAGAGCTTAGCCCTGGAGCATGTCAAGCAGTGATTATGAAATAATATGGTCATAGCTCCTTTCAAGCCTCTTGTAGCTGGAATGGGCTTCTGGGTCATTTGGATTGGAAATACTGGAAGGAATTTCTAGTTGAATTCCCAAACGTTTAGAGATATTAGACCTTGATCTTGGGTAAAATGTTGTGCAAGGTGGAGTCCCAGCAACTCATTGTCTCTAAGATATTAAGCACTGTCTATAGCACACTCCTAATTTAACTCAACCCAAACCACATGCGCAGAACCTAAGCTTTAAAACCTGGATTTGATTTCTCAACATTCACCTGAATTGGCAGAATGGCTCTCGCCTCTAGAATTTGGAAAACTAGGTGAAGCCATGTCACTTGCCAAAATACCATCTTCTCCGTGCTGTTCCCATTCATCTCCTGGAGACTGTGCGTTCACGGGGTCAGAATCCATTCGTGCATCTTGAAAGTAGCCATTGGAGTCATCTGTAGGCTCTGGAATGGAAGCTTCATCATCATCTGAAACAAGGACAACACTTAACTTTTCATTCTTCTCCTGCTCCAGTCCCAGCTTTTGTGCCTCTCGATTTCTCCGATCTATAGAGAGGGAGACTTTGGACACCACAAGGCCCTTGTGCATGCACAGAAAACTGTTCAAGGAATCATAGAATGGCAGGGCACGCTGACCACTCACAGAAGAGTTGTTTCCACAAACAATTGCCTTGTATCCTCGCCGAAGCTCTTTGGCACGCAAACGGCACTGCTTCATATCCCGGTCGTAGCCATATTCTCGCATCCGATCAGAGATCCACTCATACTGGGCCTCATTGCGAAAATTGGTTGCCAGTGAGGCTTGGACCTGGTCATCACCCCAGATCTCAATAAAAGTTCGGATTTCTTCATCAGGCCAGTAAGGGTTACGGTGACGGATGCTCTTTCTAGGAGCAAATGGCTGGATGTTCATATTTTCTCTTGGCAGTTGCTGTTGGTCACGAAGCAAAGCCTTGGTACCTGCAGACAAAGGACGCTTGGCTGACACAAGATATTTGGATCGGAATTGGTTCAGTTCTTGCAAGTTATTCTGCAGATTCTTTAAGAGATCATCACTACCAGCCATTATTTCCTTTATACTCCTGCTGCCAAAAGAGAAACACAGTATGATATCCCATAGGCAAAGTGATTTTTTTCTTTTTATTCTGAAATTTATCGAGTTCTTTGCTAACTGGTTCTGATAAAATCAGCCATGACCAGTTTGCTAGTTATACCAGTAAAAGTTCAGATAAGTTTTAAAAGAACATATATACTCATATTAGCAATGGAACCTCCTCACTTTCCAAGATGTTTTTCTCCATACTCCACTCCATAGATGAAATATTTTGCAGTTGCTTGGAAATTTATCAATAAGACCTCTTTCCAAACACACCCAAAACATCGGTAGCTGACTTGTGGTCCTCCAGATGTTTAGTCCTTCAACTCCTTACTATTGGTTATACTAGCTAGGGCTTATAGGGGTTGTAGGGAAAAAATATCTGGATGGCCACAGATTGCCCATTCTGACATAGAGATTTGCAAACACTTGTTTCACATGGATAGGCATCTCCAAGTCACTTGGTCATAAGCAGGTGTCTAATTCTTTGCTCTTTGTGGCTCATCGATTTGATCCCCTTCATCTATGCAGGCAGCTGGAGTTACAGACCCTACAGTCCCGTTCTATACAATTTTATTCAGAAATACATCCCACTGGAATAACACTTGTAGTGGACAAGCATTGGACTACAGCCCTTATTGAATCCACTGAATAAGAAACATAATATACTGAGAGCCAGGGTGATGTGGTGGTTAAAGCACTGGGCTGGGGATCTGGGGGATCAAAATTCTAGTCCCCATTTGGCCATGAAGCTAACTGGGTGACTTTGAGCCGGTCATTTACTCTCAGCCTACTCCATAGGGCTGTTGCTGAGGATAAAATGGAGCTGTGTAGACTGATTTGGATTCTCACAAAAAGAAAATGTCATGTGTAATAATGACACGGTTATCTCATCTCAGTTGGAAACATGTTTTTGAGTTGCAAAAGTAAGCACCACTGACATCATCAGGATTTACTTCCAAGTAAATATGTTTAGGATCAAAGTGTTGGAACTCAGGGCAAAAAGACCCCTCTGCTGCATTCACCCAGCCATATGTGCCATGTCAAACAAGGACATTAGTTAATATAGACAGTTAAGTAAATAGCAAGATCTGTTTGTCATCCACTAAGTCTCCCCAGGGACAACATATTAAATTAAAAATATGTGTTATCTGGAACAACTGCAGTCACAAATATGATGCATCTATGATCTAGTTCTCAAACAGACGTAAAAAGCAACTGGAAATCACACAAAGGAATGCTCCACCATTAAAAAGAAAAAAATGCTAGGACACAGAAAAAATGATGCAAAAAAATTGACCTAAGTCTAGACTACAATTCTCTTCCCTATAATTTTCCAGTATTCCAGTGGAGCGACTTTTCCTATACGGACGGACATTTAGTCATCTGTCATATGTTCACCAGTGAGGATGGAAGAAAAAAATTCATTCAGCTTCTTTGCAATCACCCTATCCTCCTTTAGTACTCCTCTAATTCTATTGTCATCGAGTGGTCTGCCTGCCTCCCTGGCTGTGTTTCCTGGTAGTCCCATGCTCCCACTGGCTCAGTGATGGCATTTTCTGACCCAGAACACTGGGTCGTTAAGGCAGGATTTCCAGAACCCAAGAAGGAAAGCTGAGGGGACTTACAATCCCCATCAATCTGATTTGGGCTTTAAAAAGGAGAGGGGAACATAGATGCAGAAGATGGCAGACGCTCCCTGGAGAATTAAAACATCAGATCTCTGGCATGCCTCAAGTAGGTTTCTGATGCAGCTCCACGGGGCACTTCAAAGCCGCGATGTTTCTTGTCTTAAAAGTAGTCTTTAATAATAACTCCGGACTGCATTCTCACTTCCTGCGTCCCCCTTCCTCTCCCCAGAGAGTCGCTCCCAGCAATGCACCTCCCCGTCACCCACTTTCAGAACAACCTCTGGGGGCTTGCCAGTGTTATGCCGGCCATGATGCATTCCCACGACCCTCCCCGCTGCCTTCCCTAAACGCTTCTGCTGCTCCCCTACCCACAGTCGCGCACTTACTTGCAAGTTCCCGGCTCGCTCGTGGGCATGTAGGCGGGCTCCGATTGGGCCGGCAGCGTGACGAGCACACCTCCGACCAATCAGCGACTGCTTCGAAGAGGCCGGCCAAAACAGAGGAAGAAGGCGGGGAACAAGCACTCAATCAGGAAGGCGGGGAGGGGCAAGAGTCAGATTTGTGACGGACAGGCGGCGCGTCGAATGGGAGGACGGATAGCGGGAAAAGGAGGGGATGGGTGCCTAGAAGCGTGTATGGAGGGGACTTTACAAAAGAAAAGAAGCCGCCAAGAAGAAAATGTGCAGACCCGCATGAAGTGGTTTTGGGCTGTGCGGGAGGCTCGCTGGGGAGGGGATTGAATTGCAAATGCAGAATTCAAACAGAAATGCAAGAGAAGCATCGATTAAAGCAGGCATCAAAGTCTCCCTTTTTTACCTTGCAAACTCAGTGGGGCATTTTTGAGCAGCGCAGACGACGAGGCGGGCCGAGCAGCAAACTTGCGGCGGCGGTAGCGGCGGTAGCAGCAGCGGAAAAACTGTCCGGGATTTGCCGCAAGCTGAGCCGCGCCAAGGCAGGCAGGGCAAGGAAGCAGCGCCCGCAGTTCAAATAACTTTTCCTTCCCACCATGCTGAGAGCGGGACCCATGTGACCGTCACCAGCCAGACCGCTGGCCACGGCAGGGGTGGGGCTCCGCCGCCCGCTCCGCAATGCGCGTGGGTCACCGAGAGAGCGACCCCCTCGCAAGGCGGTGCGCCGTCCTCGCCTAGCGCAACTGGCCGGCACTTTTCCTGCCCCCGGCCCTCTTTTGCTCCTTTGAGTCTCTCCACTGCACGAACAGTTAGCTGCTATTTTTCCTTCTTCCTCCGGGTCTCTTTTCCTCTTGTGTCGCGTCTTTTAGGTTTTATGCCCGAGGGCAGGAATTGACTCATCATTAAAAGTTTCTGTGCCGTTCTGGAAGACTTTACTGGCTGACGAGTGGGGTAAAAATGTTGCAGACACGGAGACCCTGCGCACTTCCAGTACGATCCTGTGCATATCTACAGTTGCAACAATATGGGCTAGAAGCTGAATCAGGCTTTTGCAAAAAAAAGGGCTCTGCTTGCAGGAACCTCGGCCTAATTGAGGGGATTCCTCACCCCATTCAGCAGAGTCTTCTGGCTCCCTTTGTTGTATTTTCAGGGGACTGGATGGGCTACCATACAAAGGTGGTGGTGGGAAATCCTCTTTCACGCCCCCATTTAATCCAGTGTAGCCTTGCATGCAACCCACTGAGGCTTCTCGATAAAAATGCAGAGGACCAATGGGACCCAGTAGTAGCAAGACCCTGAATTCGGGGTGTGTTCTCAGCTGAACTCTGCCTTGAGTTCAGTTAAGGCATATGTAACTCAGCATTTTCTGCAAAACGGAAGGCAGTTGTTAACAGCTCTGTTTTCAGACATTGCTCCTGCTACTGGATAGGGCACAAACAGAACTGGACAGGGTGGGCAAATTGTTTAGCACACGTTAAGGTAAGTCATATGTTGATATTTACCTTTGTAGCCATGGGGACTTAAAATGTACTTAGAAAAAGACTAAGGTCAGGTGTGTGGGAATGGCACTTATTAATGTGATCGAGAACCATGTTGCTCAACCTTGGAATACAACCTTAGTATTTACTACTGTTTCATTAAGGCCACTTTGTATTCTGGGGTTTGCTATGTGCTGTCAAGTCATCTCTGACTTAAAGTGACCCCATAATGAAAGTCCTTCAAAGTGTCCTGTACTTCACAGACCTGCTCATCTTTTGTCAACTCAAGGCTGCAGTTTCCTTTATGGAACTGAGCCATCTCACCCTCCTCTTCTGCTTGGACTTCTAGTATTATTGTCTTCTCCCTTGAGTCTTGCCTTCTCATGATGTGTCTGAAGTATGGTGGAAGGCATATCTCCTGGCTTGAGACCAGGTTATCTGAGGGATCACTCCTTCCAAATGTACCTACCCCACCCTGAGGTCATCTTTGAGGTTCATTTTCCAGGAGTCCCTTCCAAAGGAAGTGAGGTGGGCAGCTGCCAGCAGGAGGGCCTTTTTGGTTGTGGCATCCCACTTGTAGAATCATAGAATAGTAGAGTTGGGAGGGGCCCTGAAGACCATCAGGTCCAACCCTCCACTGTTGCAGGACACTAAGTTACACCATCCCACTCAGATGACTGTCCAGTTTTTCCTTGGATGTCTCTAGTGCGGGAGAGCCCACCACCTCTCTAGGCGGCTGGTTCCACTGTCATTGCTCTCACAGGAGGACACTTTTCCTGATGTCCAGCCTGTGGAATGAGCTGTTCAGAGAGGTGTGCCTGGCACTTACTTTGTATTCTTTTAGGTGCCAGGTGAAGGCCTTTCCATTTTCCCAACATTTTAGCAGCTTAACCTTTAAACTTTGTTATTCTAAACTGGATTTTATTTTGTATGCTGCTTTGCTGCTATGCTGATTCAGTTGCATTTGTTAGGATTTTGTTTTTTAAATTAATTTGTGTGTGTGTCTTTTTAAACTTTTGTTTAATTTTAGGCTTAGGGTTAGTCCTAGTCTTCTAATTTCTAAAATCTTACTCTTCTACTAATTTCTTGGCTGTAATCTCCCTTTGAATTGATGATTGAGCTAAGGCAGGCCAAATCTTCCACAATGTTAGTTTCATCACTGTTGACAGTAAAGCTGTGTAATTCCTGTGCAGTCGTGATTTTTGTTCAGCTGCAGCCCTGCTTTTTGCGTTTTCTTAATTCCCTTTAATCAGGAGCTGTTTACATTCATTGCTGCATCCCACCGGTAACATGGTATCATCTTTATATCTTAAATTCTTGATATATCTTCTACCAATTTTTATTCCTTCCGCTGACTCTAATTCAGCTTTCGTTATGATGTGTTCTTTGTATGGATTGAACAGATAAGGAGATAAAGTACACCCATCCCTGACATCTTTGCTTCTTGGAAACCATTTTGTTTCTCCATATTCTTTCCTAATAGTAGTTTCTTGCCCACAATACAGATTACATTTCAGGAGAATCAAGTGCTGAGGCCTACCCATTTCTTCTAGGACCATCCTTAGCTTCTCATGAAGCTCACAGTCAAAAGATTTGCTATAGTCTATAAAGCGTAGGCTGGTCTTCTGAAATTCAGGTATTTCTTGTTCCCTATGGGGTAAAATTCGTTGTTTTGTGGTCTAGAGAGGACTGGAAATGAGGCTTCTGCTAAGAAAAATTAAAAAGGGCTAATATTTTTTTCTATTTATGTTGTATCTACATATAGACTCAAAGTGGCTAACAATGATAAACAAGAAAAAACACAATGCAACTAAGAAGCAGTTGGAGCGCCAAAGCTTTCATTTGGATCCTTGAATCCGTGGGACATCACCTGCCATGCCACTGAACATGGGCCCTTGCTGAAATAAAAGTTCAGGCGCTCTGATGTTTTCCACTCCCCACATCTGTCCCCCCCCCCCCCGACTTTGTCTACGCGTGCTTCACATCTTGCTGCCCCTTTGAATGATTCTTTCTGCACTTTTCTTCCAAAATAAAATTCAAATGTTTTCCTTTCACATGTTTCTTTTTTACAAATAGGAGTAGCCTTTAAAGGAGTTAAGCCTTTAAAGGTACGTATGTACATAAACTTTAGAACATATGTAAATTGGCATATTTATATTTCTGCATTTTTTTTGTCCTATGTCTTGATCCCTGCTTCTTTTTGATACCTAGCTCCACCTTGATACAACCGCTAAGAGAACACTGGGAAGGTCTGCCTTGGGTGGTATTTCACAGCTTCAGGAACTGAGAAGGGTCCCACATGTCCCTACTTGATTTGCCTTAGATATTGGTGAGACACTGACAAGAGCCACTCTGGAGGAACACGAGATGTATCTCTGGGAAAACGCATGTTAGTCTGACTGAAAGTAGATCCATTGATGTGATCATTAGACTTACTCGTAACATTGAGTAGAATGCTATGTTCATAGAGCTACCTGACTATCATTAGACTGATTCTATTGCATTCAAGCTTGGCATGTAATTTGATAATGAGACTGTAGGACTGTTGTTACTATCAAAGGCTCAGAAAAAAGGGGAAGAGATGATATCCTAAGGGTGCACAAACATTTTAAAAAGGCTCAATATGTTTTTGATTAAAATACATATATATATTCAACAGGGGCACTACAAATACTCTTCCCCAAATATTTTCACCAACAAGAAAAGGGAAGAACAAAAAGAACGAAAGGGACTATCAGAATCAAGAAAAAAACAGAGCAACAAACTAGCAAAGACTAGCAAATGGTCAGTGTCTTGAGTCTGGGAGGGGAAATCAGGAATCTTTTGAGTCTATTTCATCCTGTTGCTTTTTCCAGTGCACCTAGTAAAAGTGAACCTTAGGTTACAGAGGGATTGGGTTTTGAATTTGAGGGTGTGGTTCAGTTGCATTCTCCATTACATCAGTCTGTCTAGTAAGCTTCGTAGCTGCTACTGAAAGTCTGTCAGGTTAAGACAGGGTGATGACTTCCAGCATCTGTTGCTTGCTTTCTCTTTTTGGCCCTGCAATAATTTGAAACTTGATTTCCTCCCTTCCCATGTTATTGAGAGCCTCTGAGAGAACAGCAGATTTCCTCAGGAGACTTTGGTTTATGACTTTATTCCTCCTTCCTCTCAGATGTGAAAGCTGTTCTGTTACTCTGAGGTAACTTTGTGATCTGAAGGTAACTGCGAAAGAAGCTCCTGAATAGCAAAGCAAAAGAAGAAAAACGTGTTAATAAGGCTTGCAAGTGTAAGTCGCTGCTGGGGTGCATTTTCTTAAGGAAGAATCCAGACCCTGGCTGGGGGTGCTTGGAGTTGTATGACTTTTTTCTACCTAACCATGCCCAGGATTGCACCCTTGAAGTTTTAGGGCTTAGATATAGGTTTCTTCCAATGTATAGTTTACAGAGAATTCGTTTAGAATGTAAGGCACATAGGTCTGCCAAATATTGGCCAGTCATTTAGACACCTTTCATGAAGTGAGTGCATCTGTCATATATTTTGTGGGGGAAATATGGGCAGAATCTGAAAGTGTGTTTATGCTTCTGCTGATATTTACACCTTGCTAATTCCCATCCATAAGTGGTACCTTCTACTTGTAGAATGAAAGTTTAGTGCTGTGGGGGCAACTTGAGTTGAATTAAAATGCTCATTCCTAGAATGGGGCAGGTTGGCTGAGTTTGCATACAAGAGCAATGCTTAGCCATACAAACTGAGAAATGAGTATTTCCATTTGTTTCAGGGCTTTCTCAGGGAACTATTAAATCTCTCACATGAGCAGCCTCACTACTTGAGCAAGAGAATTGATGGGGTACAATCACCCCATTGGATTCTGCCCTTTGAATCAACTCTTCCTTGCTTAGGGTTGTTTGAAGTGAGTATTTTATGGTGCAAA